AGTGTAAAGAAGTTGTCCACAGTCTCTTTGTTGAACCCTCTGGCGCGAGCAAATGATGTCCCAGTAGGTTTTCTAACTGACAAAATTTTGTGCCTTTGCAGAAATAGATCTAACCAGCCCCTTCCTGCTGTTTGTGTGTTCCCAAAAGGATGCCTTATGCCGTTTTTTTCTGCCAAGTAAAATGCCATACGTTTAACGTCTTTGCGGGTTAAACCATAAAACTTGGCTTCCATTACAAGGATATAGCGAACTAATGCTTCTTCCAATTCTGGAGTCAAAACTGTACCTCGCCCTAATTTGATCTGAACAGCCTCCTCTACGCTAAGATGGTCCATTTTGGCCAATCGCTGAACTGTAGTCCTTGGAACGCCAAAAGTTTTAGCTGCCTTTAGAGTTCCCATCGTTTTTTCTCTTACCGCTCGAACAGCCCTTTTCATATGGTCTACATCCCATGTCTTCCATTTCTTAGCGCTCAACTTGCGACTTACAATAAATTTTCTGCGTGGCATTCTAAAACAAAGTTCTCGATTTCTATTATTGCTACAAATATGGGCTAGCCCATATTACAAACTTAATACCAGCCCCTATTGCACATAACCTCCAAAAAGTTTGAAACTCCACAAATATTTTATATCTTGTATCTGAATATAATTAAAGACAACATCTAAAAATATGAACCTTATTTTCAATTGTGATCTATAAAAATCAAGTTAAATACTAAAACCTACTTAGTTACAGAGACAAATAACCACCACTGCAAAATTCATAAACACTGTAAAAGACCAAATCGCACGAAACTGAATTGTGTATGTGAAAAGAAGAATTCTGTAATCAACTGGCGGTCACGTGCACTAAAGCGCATATAATTGTTACATTACTCGATAGATGACTCTAGGTGCATCGGAAATATCAACGTAGCCCATATTCCCTACCTAGCCCATATTTATACCACCTCCTCTACTTAGCAATTGAATGTTTGAGGTGTAGGCAGTTAGGACGAAACTGGGCGTCTTATTCGCATGGAGAGGGTAATAAAAAAAATACGAGGTCGAGCCGAAGGACATTTATTGCGGGAAGTTAAAAATTCGATAATTTGAGTTATAGCCAGCTTTCGAAAAACTTTCATCACTTCTCTTCAGGATAGTCCAAAGATCAAAAAGATGCATAGAAAACTTTCCAAGATCAAAAATTGAGAATCTGACATAGCCCCAAACTTTGCTAAAAACATATGACTTCCTTTGCTCACCCTGTATAAGTGCATATATAAAATAAATATACCGATCAAACCCTGTACGTGTTCTCAAAAAAAAATTCAATTTGGGTAAAATTTTTCATGTTGCAAAACAACTGTCCTCCAGTTTAGTTTGTCTACCTACTAATATTTATGACTTTCGAATCTCTTGGATAAATTTAATTAAATACAGACCTTTTGCAAATTAATATAAAATCGATATAAACAGGTGAAAAACCACCAGATTTGATGAAAAATCACCACACCTGGTAACCCTGATCCGTTTGTAAGCGCATCGATGATCGCGTGGAAATAAGAACGTTGCTCAAGTTTGGTTGCCTATACGTTCAGCTTAATGCAAATATAAATAAAATAGTGATTCTGCGTTTTCGGGTTGGTAGCACTGCGTGTCCGTAAGTGCATTATTGGAAATTAAGCATCATGTGTTCTGTGATTAAGGTAGTTAATTGAAAATTCTGAGATTCGGACAGGAATATAAGAAAAAAACTTTTCACGCACTACTTTAACACTGTGAGCAAATTTGATAATAATACTTTTGACCGACGAATCAGAGAAAAGAGGTTTCATTTGATTGAAAGGAGGTGGTAATAAGCATATATTATCGTCGCTTAAGTTTTAACATCGGGTAACTCAAAAGATGGCGCCAACAAGATATGCGCATTCGATAGGGAATCCAAAAAGGTGACGATATAATCCAACGAAAACTCAACTCATTTAGTTCTCCAGAGACGATCTAGCCATAAACGCAATATATTGCTGACTTCTTATACCTTTGTTTAATAATGACTGAAAAATAATATTTTTGGAAATCAGAACGTGCCTCGATAGTGTTGACTATTCCATCTACATCAATGTAGTGATACCTACGGTTGTTTCAAGAAATTTATTCTTGCTTGATTTCGATAATATCAACCGTTTTTAAGAGAAAAATATCGCTGGTTCTTCATCTGTCATCAGTCGGGTCCATCATTTATAAAACTGTACCAAATAATAAGGCTACTTTACTCTAAAAGCCCATTCATTGTAACGGAACGAATATCTTCCTGAACATGAATCCGGTATTTTTTTGTAAAAGTTAAATACTAGGATGTCTAGCAAAACACATGTGTTCCTAATTTCATTCAAATCACACTATCGGTTCCAAAAATAACTGAAAAAAATGTGTCTTAAAAAGAAAAACCGAGAATCATGGCCCATTGACTTATTTTGAGTCTAAAAATACGTGGTACTTATATGTCGTCCAGGGAATTTTGGGACAGCCTGTATATCAGGCAGCTTATTCTATATTATATTGCTTTGCGAAATATTTGAATCAGACATTACATATGTCATATGATAAAAGGATATTACAAAAAAATGTTTGTTAACCTTGTACTAAGAGATTTCAATGGACATTGTTTCCGGCGTTTTTATATAGGGTATTTCATAATGGAATGCCAATATTTAAGACAACGATATTGGGTCAATTTTAAGAAGAAAAATTCGGTGAACGTAGTACGTCCTAAACATCTCAACTTTTGACATACAAGGTGGTAAGGTTTTTAATATAGAAAGTCAGTGGCTTTTCTCAGAATAGAAGAAATGAAATCTTCATTTATGAATATATTTGATCTCTCATAAAAGGAAGGAATAGAAATCAGCCTATGTTAAATTAAACAAATGTCTTTCTAGTTCTTCTGTGGACTGTAACAAAGTTTGGTTGAGTATTCAGGTTTCTTCTTATGATTTGATATTTGATCACAAATGCGTTGATGTTTTACTTCGCCATCTGAAGGCCAAACATCGTGACATTTCCCCACAAGACAAACAACATAATTCCCTTTATAGACGTCGAAGTACTACTTTTCGCATTTCATATCTATAAGCAACATCTAGACATATGCAGCATTTGTAGACGAAGATTGCATAAAAATTAACTAGTTTGTTGCAGGGCTGTTATGTTTTGATCAAATGTTTATAACAAGTGTTTTAAACACTGTTTAAAACAATGGAGGTGTTTTAAACCTATTTGTTTTAAGGTGTTTTTTTTTGTTTTTTGACGGCGTCAACTTCTATGGTTATTAGCCGAAGGTGTCTGAAATATGTTTTAAGCACTGTTTTTTGTCGTTTGTGCATTATTCAAGTTTAAAACAGATAAGTACTAAAAAATATACTTTATTTTTTATTAATTAATCAAACATGAAACTAGCGAACTAATACTAGTGAAAAAAAATCTGTTTCTTAACGAACGAGTGAAATTAATAAACTGCATTGAACTCTATTACTAGAGTTCACTACAAGCATCAGAATAATTATATGATATGACTATATGTATACGTATTTACTTGTATAATAACATTAAATAAGTTACTTAACAAAAAAAGTATACAACCTTACAACCCATCTTATTTAACAAAAATTAAAAAAATCCTTAAATCCATATTTTTAAAATATAAAATCATGGAAAATGTACATAGAATAAATTTTTAGTTTTCACTACTTTTTACGCAACTTCAAGTAAAAAAAAATGTACCTTTTACACAATTCTCCAAGCTACTTAACTTTGAGGAAATAGGTTCGATAGAAACATCATCATTGTCGGAATCAGAACTATCCGATATATGTATATCTTGTTTTTTGCTCTTTTATTTATTTTCGAGTCAGCTTTGGCATCAGTCTCCTTAAAATATTTCCACATGGGATCGTTTCTGCTCCCTCTGTCATTGCCTTTTTCCGATCTTTAATTCACAAAAAACAAAACACACCACCACGCTACGACTTCGCAATTACCCAAAGGCAAACGGTACTTCCCCGACGTTTAGAGATATGCTCTGATAGAGCTGGATCAAAAATAGTAACAACACTTTCAAGGAACTTCATTAATGTTGTATAGATTATATAGGCACTATTTTTTTTTACTGTTTTAAGCATCTATTAATAGTGTTTCAAACATGTTTTTTTCAGCTAAATTTGAATGTTTACAAAAAACAGTTTTAAACAAACAAAAAAAAACATTATTTTTGTTTTGAAAAAAAATGGGTTTTTTCAACTCAGGTTTGTTGCGACAGTAGTTCTGGCTGGGTTTGAGCGTTTTAAGAGCTCTTTGCCGTTTTCGGAACGACGAATGAGGGTAGCGTGTCTGGTACACTAAAAAAAGCCGGTAACCTCATGCTTGCTTGTCGCTTTGGAGGGCAGGACGTCCTTTTGGAAACAGAATATCTGCCCCAGGCGAAATGTGTAAATGACACAAAAACAAACGAAGTGACAGATAAACAAAATATATCGTCAAAAGTGTTAATTGTATTTGAAAGCGTTGTTTCTACTATAAAAAAATAGTATGAGACACAAAGCTACCAAAGGACCTTTTCAAATTGGAATATCAAAATACGATTAAAACGACTTAAATTCGATAAAGGTGCAAAATTTGAAGGATATTTGATTTTTGCTATTTTATTTTTTATCAATTTATTGTAGATATGAATAAATAAATTTAAACTTAACATTGATACCTATATCAAAATGGCATAAATCCCAAAATTCAATTTTGACGAATGAGATTGTCAAAAACGTCCTATCTATATATTTTGGCTCGACTACTAGAACGATCCAGAGAAAAATAGAAAAAGATTTTCATTGGTCTGGAGTAATATCATGAAGATTTATTATTCTGGTCTATTAGCTATTTAGTTTCTTACTATCCTGGCATTATTACAGGTGCAGGCAACAAGTCAGACTGTGAGATGTCTATGTGGTCACATGCGCTCGGGGCGTGACTTTCTATTATTTGTGAAGTTCCAGATTTCTCCACCGCGTCTACGAGTGGAAAAAAGTAAGGTTGACGCATAGTTTTGACGTTTTTGGGACGTTTTGCAAAGGGTAGCAAAAATCCCGCAAAATGCCGGTCAGGGTGGATATAACGCCTCCCCCGCCGGCAAATTCGAAGCAGCCCGGTGTCACCAAATCCCTGCTTTACAACGGTTCCAAGTTTCAAGGGTTCCAAAAGTCGAAAGGCAACAGTTACGAAGTCGAAGTGATTTTGCAGGTTAGAATTGCAGTTTGCTTTTATTAGATGCAAAATATTCCGTTGTTCGAGCGTTATTTTAAGAACTAAATGCTCTTTACATAATCGCTCAATGTTTTACAATGTTTTAGGACTTTAAAATTGTATCACAATGATATGCTGTTGTTTAAGCTGTGTTGCCCCCAATTTCAGCATTTGTAGGGATATAAACAAAGAAAAACGATTAAAACCATTGTTGATAGGCACTTCATATCATATTTAATGTCATTTCTTAGTTCATATAGCTCAAAAAGAGATATTTGCCAAGTTACATACTTTTGTATCTAGCTCATAGCTAATTTTGGGATTACTTTCATAATATAGTCCAATTAAAAGCCTTAATTGTAGCTGAATTGTATGATGCTTCATATTTTTGCCTATGTATTCCACCAAAACCTGAACACTTTCTGGGTATAGTTTTGTCACTTATTTCCACTTAGGTTTTTGGTTAGGGATTTGGGGTCAAGGAGGTTCATATTTTGCATTTAAATGATCCTACCTTTATGATCTAAACATTTCATATTATACACATTATGACAGTTTTGTATTCATGTTTTTATTTGCTGCTTTGTATTTTATTTAGATGTTTTTGATGAAACTAAAGATTTGAAATATTGGGGTTGCAAATAATGAACTATGTTTTAGGACTTGGACAAATAAACAATATTCCTTTTTTAAAAATCTGTTGTTGCTTCCTCAGGAATCTAGATTTCTGGTTTTTGAGTAACTTTCTTACATTAAGTGATGATAGGACATAAATGACTTCATGCCTATAACCAGTATTTAAAAAAATCTCATTCTATTATAAACAATTTGCCATTTATTTGCACTAATCAAATGTTTTTGAAAGTTTTTTATATAACATATTTTTGTATACTTACGTTGGTGACAATTGTAGATTCCTGAAGATACTAATAAACATTAGGTAAAGTTTGAAGTAGAAGAAAGTGAGACTTCTTTGCATGTGGCCCAAATCATATGTTATTGATTGACAGCAAGACTAACATACTGCATGTCCTAACTTTGATATTATTCTGCCCATTTTACATTGATGATAAATCCATGGGATTTAGTCATGAATTGAGTTTATGTCCAAATTTCAAATACATAATATATAAAACAGGAATTTGTCATAAAATAAATTCATGAGCATCTTTGTGGATATCTTCATGATATTAGAACTTGTTCTAATTTTGTTTTCCTTTCCAATATATTGAACATCATTTCAATTCAACTATAGGGCTTTGATAGAACTACAGTATTCTGTTTATGAGATTTACCTCAAGATCATAACCATAATACATATAAAAACTCAAAATGTTTTTAGCAAGAATTTGTTGTGTGGTTGCCACTGTTTGCAGCACTGTGAACTATCAGATAATCCACATGGATTTGTTTATTGAGGTAAAAACTGCAAAATATAATCAGCATGACCTTGAAGAAATCCATCTGAATACACAAAGAAATTGTAAAATGGGTATTATGTATTAAAGTGAGCAAACAATTCAGCTGTCTGATTATTTGAAATACCTTTTTGAATAATCTGATTATAGCTCGTCCATATAAAGTTATTTTTGGTAGCTTAGAAAAACTATGTATGCATCCATATCAGGACATTTCACCTAGATGAAAAATGAAATAGTATTTTAATTAGGAGGGCTAGTATTTACTCTTTGTAGGTGTAGACATTGCAAATTATAATTGAGTTTAACACGGCTGATCTTGTGTATGTTTATGGTAACACGTCAAACTTTTCCTGACATGTTACCTAAGATCACTTTGGGTCAATGAATCAACAGACCACAAAAATGAAATTTTATCCCAATTATAATGTTGATATTTTTCTGATTGTTTTTTCTTTTCAGCATGTAGATGAAGAAAACTCTTACTTATGTGGATACTTACAAATAAATGGCTTAACTGATGAATACCCTAAACTAACCACATTTTTTGATGGAGAAATAATCAGTCAAAAATATCCTTTTCTTACCAGAAAGTGGGATGCTGATGAAGATGTTGATAGAAAACATTGGGTAAGTTTAAAAAATTCGACTCATAAAAAAATCTAAATCCTTTTTATATATATATATTTCAAATAAAAATGGCATTTTCACTTATAATACTAATAAACAGGGTGTCCCCAATGAAAATGGGAAGTAGTCTTATGAGCAAACTGGAAAAGATATAAAAAATCTGTCTTTGTGGCAACCTTGATATGTTACTAGTGCATATTTTAAAATTATTTTAATATACTGAGGGTATTCCATCACTTCATGCCATAGCAAACATATTTTTTTTAATATATCCATATGGTTTTGATTATCAATAGGCTAGATATTTGATCTGAAAAAAATGCCCAGATTTGACGGCTCGCAGCTCCGCGATTTTTGCACATATTTAAATATATCTTAGTTTACAAAAGTTTGATGGATGATCGATTTTAAGCTGATCTGGAAAAAGTGCTCAGGTATCTTTATTTCAAAACGCAAAATGTACTTTTTTTGGGAAATTTCAAATGGAACACCCTTCATATTTCTCCACTGTTGAATATTTTTTTGACGAACTTTTTTTTTTATTAAGGCTTGTACAACTTTTCCAAGTGTTTTTCAGTTATTGCTATCAATTTCAAGAAAAACCAAATACATCTTGGAGGCCGTTCAAGCATTACGTGAGCACTATGGGGGGGCAGGGGTGTCTTTGCTTTGCTTATTTTGGAAGACATGGGGGGGAGGGGAGTCTAGATGATGATTACGTCATCAGTAGTTATTTACTTTTTTACACGAATGGCAACCCTCACATTGTCTTTGCTTGAAAACGAAACGCATTTTCGGGGATTCCCGCAAATAATGCATACGTTTAGTGAACACTTGTCTAAATTTAATCTATCAGTGTATTGTTTCGTTTGGATACTATAGCGAGTAAACATATTGTAAGCATAGTAAAGCAAGTTAACATTTGTGTTACCATTGATTCCATTAGCAAGTTTAATGTTTAAATAAGATGTCGTTTCACATAGACAAATCCAAGTTATGCCAAATATTGTTTGAAAGTTTTAAAAAATCTCATACAAGTACGAAAGTACAAAATGTACAAAAGTTAGTTAACGAAGTGTGGCGAAATTACAAATTACAAGCAAAATCCGACAAGGAACTAGATATTATTGTATCTAAGAGAATCAATGAAGAATTGCAAGCGGCGACTAAGAATAAATCCAATCTACTAAATTTTTTTTCTAAGGTTAGTGACGAAATCATTTTAGGTACCTATGAGTACTAGACATATTAGAAATCTCCAAAAAGTTTCTCTTTACTGATTAGAAAATACTATGGCCTATCTCTTAGTTGGGAACTGTCTGGTTTAATATTGCCTCATGACCATTTTGGGTCTCATTTGGATGAACGTGGCGTTTTTTAGAAAGATCTAATTTCGAATTTGCGGAAAATGTATTAGCTGAAGCTGAAGCAGTGGAAATTGATGGCTATAATGTTTCCAGACATTAAATCGTATTCAGAACATGTGCGTTTGGGAATCAACAGAACTACTTGCAATATATTACAAGTTCATGATGAATGACTGTCTTGGGTTATTATGAGTCCTTTTGGGCGGCAAAAATTCATTGTGGAAGATCTGATTTTAAGTCTAAGTGTGATATATATATTTTTTTGAATTAATAGCAGTAACTCGAAAATTGTTCGAAAAAACTGGTACAAACCTTGCATAAAAAAAAGTTCCTAAGGAAAGCTATTTAATGATGTAGAAATATACAGGGTGTCCCATTTGAAATTTATGGGAAAAGGTACATTTGTGCTTAGATGTACCGTGTATAATAGAAAGATATTTTAGCATTTCCTTCAGATGAGCTTAAAACCGATGATGATAAAATTTTTCTGAATTAAATTGTATCTACATATCTTCAAAAGTGGCGCAGCTGCGAGCCGTCAAAGTTCGGCATTTATTCAGACATTTTACTAAATATCTAAACAATTGACAATCAAAACGGTATGTTATGTGATATCAAACTTCTTGTTTTTAGAAGCTCTATCCAAATATGCAATACAATGTAAGTTATTGTATTAAAAAAATACATCTTTGCTATGGCATGTTTATACTAAAATAAATTTAAAATCTGTAACAGTATCAGACAAAAGTTTGTAAACATTCTTAGTAATTTTCAAAAAGTGTGCGAATTTTTTATTCTTTATTATTAAGGACTATTTTTTTCTCACATAGTTTGCTTACAGTCTTGGGGATATCAATGACAATTTGTGTTTGCTATGGTACTACAGACTAGCATTAAAATACTTTCATAGTATTTTATGAACGAAAATGAGACGACAAAAGTATGGAAACATATTTTTTATTACAAAATTAAATACACAACAAAAAGATTTAAAAAATACTGTTTAACTAATATTTGGTAGCATAGCCTTAAGCATACTCAATTCTATTACATAATCAAATAAATCGTTCCTGTTTTAAAAAGTTTTTCTTGTCAGTTGTCTTCTAACATGCTCGCAGAGATGTTCTATAGGGTTTAGGTCCAGGGATTGCGAATGCCATGTAAGAACATTAACATTTTTAGTCTTAACCTGTCCTTTACGAATTTTGAGGTATGCTTGGGGTCATTATCTATACTAAGTGACATATAAATCCGAACACCCAGTTTAAATGGTTTTATTTTAATAAAAGTTGGTGAATGTATTTATCTTACTGTAAATAACAAGTGAAAAAATTGTATGCCTTATCAGTTGGACATTCCGGTTTTTATACTGCTTTTTTTTAATTCACTAACGCTCTAAAAATGAATATTTCAGCCGCAGTAAAGAATCAACGTTGGCGGATTTTGGTTCTTGACATCCTTTACGATCGGTTACGATGCCTAGAGTACGGAGACCTGTACGATTTCGTCAACTTAGTGAGTTTGATAGGGGCCGTATAGTGGGACTTCGGGAAGCTGGACTTTCTTTCAGAAGTGTAGACACTGTGGTTAGGTGTTGTCAGGCATAGCTTCGAGAAGGCCGTACGCAAAGAGCAAGGGGCACTGGACGCCGCCGTAGAACAACAGACCGTGAAGATCGTCGCCTAAGATTATTGGCCTTAAGGCACCGTTTCTCCACTACCAGGTCCATTGCAAATGAATGGTTTGCAGAACACGGAAGACCTATTGGCATGCGAAGTGTTTACCGACGAATGAAAGTCTTGTTTTCATACCGGCCACACTGGGTCCTCCCTTTAACTCGAGAACACCGACGTAATCGCCTTGAGTGGTGCAGACAATGGTCACTCTGGGATCAGGAATGGAACAGCATTGTCTTTAGTGACGAGTCTCGATTTTGTTTAGGCATGCACGATGGTCGTGCCAGGGTTAGAAGGCGACGTGGTGAAAGGAGGAATCCACAGTTTTTTGTTGAAAGACATGTTCATCACACTGTTGGAGTTATGGTTTGGGGTGCTATAGCTTATGGTTTGGGGTGCTATAGCTTATGGTTCCAGGTCACCTTCAATCTTCATTAGAGGTAACATGAACGCGCAGCGTTATATCCACGAAGTTCTAGAACCCTATCTTGTCACCATGGCAGATCCAACTTTCCAACAAGATAATGCCCGACCACATGTTGCAAGAGTCACAATAGACTTCTTTCAACATAATGATGTTACATTGTTACCATGGCCACCAAGATCTCCCGACTTATCCCCAATTGAGCACGTGTGGGATATGATGGGTAGGAGATTGCTTAATTTGCAACGTCCTCCTCAGACTCTAGAAGCACGTCGAGAGGAGTTGGTGGTTACCTGGAATGAGATACCACAGGAGGACATTGACCACCTGATTAGAAGCATGAATAGGCGCGTTGGAGAATGCGTAGCACATCAGGGTGCATCCACACATTATTAAAGGTCAAAGGGTTTTAAAGCAGTGCAATCATTTTGAAATTTTTATCATTTACTTATTATGCTTCATTAAGTACTTATACAAAATTTTACTAAAATAAAACCATTTAAATTGGGTGTTCGGATTTATATGTCACTTAGTATAGTTGGAATGATCATCGTAAAGGCATTTCTTCTTCAGCAAAAGGGAGCATGTGATCACTAAGAATATCTTTGTAAAGATGTTGATCCATTTTTCCAAAAATTTTAACAGTTGGACCCGTTCCAGAACTAGAAAAACAGCGCCAAACCATGCTTAACTGTTGGCAACTGATACTTTTTGTCGAATCTTTGTCCTATTGGACATATGCCGTACCGTCAGAACCAAACAAGTTAAATTTGCTTTCATTGCTCACTGTATTCAATTGTTGCTCTATCCAAGTTAAACGAGTTTTAAAAATTCAAGTTGAAGAATACGATTTTTTTGTTGAAATGAGAGGCTTTTGCACCAGACGCCTACCAAAAATCCCAAAAACCATCAAGCACTGTTCTGAAAGAAATATTGTCCTTACCCTCTTCTACAATTCTTTTGAAAATCTGTGTGGCTGGTATTAGAGGATTTTCATGGGACAAACGTTCAATGTAGCTATCCAAAACATCGATTTTTTTCGGTTTTCCGCACCTGGGCCGCGTTGCTGTTGATCCGTATTCTTGATATTTACTAACTTTCGAAATAGTCCCTGTATTAATTTTTAATCTTTGAGATATGTCAACATTTCTGACACCACTTCTAAATAATTCAATTACTTTGTCTCTTAAATCTTTTGAAAATTCTTTTACTTTTGCCATTCTCACTGATGTTTTACCCCACGCAATATCAGAGTATCGTAGAACGAATAAATATGGCAAAACTAAAATGTTTACATACTTTTGTCATTACAAAAACTGTGGTATTTTATTTTCAGAGAATTTGAATATTGATAAGATAAACCTTATATTAGTACGGGAGCCAAAGGTAGACTTTAATATTTATATTATCTGCTCCTTCACAGTTTTAATTAAGGTATATGAAATAGTTCATAATAATGTTAATATTTGTTTCCATACTTTTGTCTGCTACTGTATCAAGGTTTCCACAAGAACAGATTTTTGATGTCTTTTCCAGTTTGCTCATAACACCTCTTCCATTTTTGTTGGGACAACCTGTAAATAATTTCAAAACTGATCTATCATGACACTAGTTCTTTTAGTATTGTGGATATCTGAACTAATGTTGTGAAAAACTGTTTGAACAAACAATTTCCATAAAAAATCAAATTTTTCTTTCAGAGTAAATTTTCATCATTTAGCCAATATGCCAAAAGCTTCAATTCAGACTCGTTCGACTACAAAGCCTTAGCAGACACGGATTATGTATTTATGAGGTGGAAAGAACATTTTCTAGTACCTGATCATACCATAAAAGATATAAATGGTGCTTCCTTTGCTGGGTTTTACTATATCTGTTTCCAAAAATCAAAGGCATCTATTGAGGGCTACTATTATCACAGGAGCTCAGAATGGTAAGTTAGCTTAAAGATATCATTCTCATTGAGAACAGATGGCTACTCAATGGCAACCTGACTCACTACATGCATTTGAGTTGCTTTAAGCAAGAATATTGCTTTAGTTTCTTAATACAGTGAAATCTCCTTTGGATGAACACCAACTGGACTGACTGAAAGTGTCCATTCAAGAGGGCTGTCGGGATGAAAAAATACAACAGAAATCGTGTTTTTAATGAAAACAGAATATATTAAAGAAACTGGGATTTTTAAAATGTATATGTATACAGGGTGTTTCAGTTTATTGTTGCATAACTTTAAGATTCGATAGAACTTTTAAAATTAATGCATAAAGTCTATATAAACATGGGTCGAAAAATGCGTGGCTTCCGAAATACAGGGTGTTTAAATTTTCTAAAATATTTTTTTTTTTAGTATTTCGAACAATATTTGATATATAACAGTGAAAATTGGTATACAAGGGTTTTTTGGTTCGACAAAACAAACCATGGGCATAGTTTTACTGTAGCCGCTAGAGGGCGCTCTCTACTGTACCTGTGGTGTATTAAAATGACCGAAAAATTTTTCTTAGTGCAATTTTTTGCTTTTTGAATAAAAAAACTGATTCTTCGCACTTTTCAACATAAAAAAGCTCTCCTGTGAGTTTTCGTTATAGTTAACCGTTTTTGAGATATTTAGATTTTTTAGGTTCGATGCATTTTTAATTATTTATGGGAAAATAATATTTTTTTTACATTTTCGATTTGGGCATTACAAGTAATTAAGATGATCGTTTAGATTGTGTTTTTAAACACAGCAATAATTCCTAACTCCAAATAAACATAAAAAAAAGAATATTAATTTGTTTAATTTACCAATATTATTTTTAACAAATTAAATTAATTATTTACAACTAAAATGCTATTGGATAGTTAGGACAAACATACAAAATCTAAAGTAGTTGCTCGAAATGTAAACCCAATTGTTCAATACACAATTCACATCTACGAATGATCGAACGTGGTATATCATTATTCAAATAAGGCCTTATTTCATCACATGCATTCCTGATGCGGATTTTCATGTGACCAAATATGTTGATTATGAAAATTTACCACTCCACGTCTAGTGAAGCATGACTCATCGGTCCATAAAACGTTACTTAAAAACTCCCTATTATTATCAGTTCTATCAATAATCCACTGACAAAATGTGATTCTTCGTTCTCCGTCCCTTGGCTGTAGTCCTTGCACAGGTTGCAAATGGTAAGGACGTCTATGGTCATTTCTAAGAACACGGTGAACATGGCTTGCTGAAATTCCCAAGGCACCAGAAACTCTCCTAACACTTGTGGTCGGATCTCTATCAAACTCACGCAGAATCATACGGGTAAATCTGCGCTGACGAACATTTATGTTTTGATCCCTTTGGAGATTTCCAAAACCATTTTCAATTATTTGGCGATGCACTCTTACAAATACTGAGCGAGTTGGATGTCGTCTGTTTGGAAATCTTCGTGCGTATTCCCTTGCTGCTTCTGCTGCGTTTCCATTTACAAAGCCATACACAAAATGAATATCCGCTAACTCTTGATTGGAGAATAAAAATGGCATTTTTATAAAACTTACAAAAAAAAAAACAGGTAAAAGAAACAAAATTTCGTGCATTCACAATTGCAAAAAAACGTTTCAGGTTTCAACAGACAACAAAACTAACTGTCAACTAATTGACGTTTAACCTTATTCTGCTTTCAATTTCAAATATATTTGGAGGCACAGCCTACTTCTAAAAATTATCGAGATACTGACTTTTTAACGTTATTTTATCATAAATAATTAAAAATGCATCGAACCTTAAAAATCGAAACATCTCAAAAACGGCTAACTATAACGAAAATTCACAAGAGAGCTTTTTTATGTTGAAAAGTGCGAAGAATTAGTTTTTTTATTCAAAAAGCAAAAAATTGCACTAAGAAAAAATTTTCGGTCATTCTAATAAACTACAGGTACAGTAGAGAGCGCCCTCTAGCGGCTACAGTAAAACTATGCCCATGGTTCGTTTTGTCGTACCAAAAAACCCTTGTATACCAATTTTCACTGTTATACATCAAATATTGTTCGAAATATTTAAAAAAAACTATTTTAGAAAGTAAATTTAAGCACCCTGTATTTCGGAAGCCACGCATTTTTCAACCCATGTTTATATAGGTTTTATGCATTAATTTTAAAAGTTCTATCGAATCTTAAAGTTATGCAACAATAAACTGAAACACCCTGTATAAATGTTTTTAAAATAAACAAAAAACCTCAAACTTAAGAAAAAAAGGTTTGTTACCATTAGATATTTACATAGTATGCACATTCATATGCATAATATGTACGTACATACATATATGTAGTAACACAAAACAATGAAATAAAAAGTCACTTTAAAGACGGAACAAATCATACATTGTCGTTTGCCTCGTCTTTTTCTTTAATATGGCGTCTTGAAAACGTATTTCTAATCTAGGAAGAAGCTCCAAAGACTCTGTATCTCCCTGATTTTCGACAAAACTTTGGAGCTGCATGGTCAGGGTAATAGCTTTACCATAATTTGGAATAGCTTCTGTTGGTACTGGAACCTCACCAACATCAGAATCTTCGGAAAGTTCTTGTATTTCAACTGGATTTTCAATTTCTTGGCGTTAATCATAAAAACTTTCATCTAGGTTCAGAAAATCATGAAGGTTTTCATTATTATAGTAGTTAATTTCAATAAAGCCTTATTTTTGTGAGGATATCTGAAAGTACATGAAGTGGTAAGTCGTCGTCTGGGTCAGGTGTATCAGCCTCATCTAACTGGTCTTGCGAGAGCAATTCTGCAGTGTTTCTTTGGTTACTTGGTCCCAAGCGGTTTTTGCCAAATACTCGTAAACTGCATCCAATGACGTAATTTTCTTTATTAACTCAAACGCTGTACCACTAGCAAGTGTTTGAGTATTAGACTTCAAAACTCTGTATACTCCCTTCGTCAAGTGGCTGACAAGCTGATGCATAATTCGGGGGCAAATATAAGTTTTTCATAATATTGGATGTCTTTTGGATGAGATCATGCATCCCGATATCACTTTAAAACCTATGTTGTGGCGAATTCTAAATTTATTGAGCCAACCAGAAGAAGCACTGAATGTAGAATGTCCCTGTGAATCGGCTGTTTCTTTTGCTGTGCATCGTATTAGCGGACTTAAAAAAAATAGTTGTAGTTTTTTGCTTTTGTGATAAGAAAAACCGATTGATAATCTCACTCTTTTTATCTGTTTTAAAATTGATATGTAAAGAAAATCAACGCATTTATACAAAAAACCTTATCTAAAAAAATAATATGCATACATACCTGTCAAAAGAATCCAGTCATAACACAATTTGTCAATTTTGGTACCATCACCGTTCAAAAAGCTTCTTTTTTCATTTCAAATATCTTTATGTTTAATTATAACTGCAGCTTGTGTTTGTCCAATATTAAAACGCTTGGATAAGTCCCTTAAACTTAGCTTCTCCTTATTGTGAACCATGAATCTGTCGCCCACTGTGTCTTTTCCGCATAGACGGCAGAGGGCAGACTAATACTGAATGGAAATTTAAACGAAAGCGTGTACCCAAAGAATAAGAACGTTAAATCCCCGATCAACTGGGGGAAGTCTCTAATTCACGCCTGTCAGAAATGCATCACATAGGCTGCGTTTGTACCCAAACGATTAAAAGATGGCGCGAAGCACGATTGGGACAAGCAATAGCGATACTTTCAACAGAAAAAAAAACAAGACCAGGCATTTCTTTGTATTTAGTTTTTGTCCGGTTAGGAGAACATTTCCTCGTGTCCGCGTTCGTTCAAGAGAATGTCCGTCCAAGAGAGAGTTAATTCATACAGTGTAAATTATATCAGAGTTGGTCGGTATCATGAGAAACTGTCCGTTTAAAGGAGGCGTCCGTGTAAGAAAGGTGTCCGCGAGGGAGAATTTCACTGTATTAAGAATCCTTGACTTTTCCCTTGATGTATTTCATACTTATGTTGTTTATCAAAACTTACTTATTTCCAGGTACCAGTCTCTTAATCTAACCCATGTGCCTGAAAACAGTATACAAATTTACGAGTTTAGGTAAATTTGTGTCACGCGAAACTTTTACAGAGTATTATCTTCACATCCATTTTATTTTTTGTACGATTGGCGTTTCATTTTATCAATTATTAGTTAGTTAAAAAACACCGTACTTTTGCTTAGAATCACGCCATTTTTACGATTTTGTTCTATGGTTGCAATTTGCAAGATGGTTGCAGTTAACGATGAATTTATTTCGAACATGTGTGTTTTTTATTTAATTTATTTATTATCGGATGTATAGATGGGACAAGCATGCCAGAATAATTTTAACTGCAATGTTCTTGTACAAAGAGGCGTAGACGTTAGTCCAAATAGTTTCAAACAAAAAACATATTTAAAGCATATTTGCATGAAATGTAAAAAGATCATCTCTGTGTGCTAAAGCAGTTGATCTCTGTGATGCTACAGTATTTTATATTGGTATAGAGTACTCGAAGATGTACACAGTTTCATCTATCTAACTGGTGATTCATTTGGTACTTTTTGTAATATTTTTCAAAAACCAAATGACACATGTTTCACAGATTGTGTAATGGTCAGGGTTGGCCAACTTCAAAAGGTACTCCTAAACGAACCACCCATTAGTTTGATTTTGGGTCTTTTAATCTATAGGTAGATATAATGCTTAGACAGTGGAACTGTGATTTTGTATAAAGTTTTGATGTATTATTATAAAATCTTCTACGCTTTTGCATGCCTAGGCTCTCTACGATGATTCAAATGAAATATTTGCACCACAGTTTTTTAACCAATTCACTTTGAACATGAGGTAACATTGATGACAAAACTGGATTTCTACATGATTTGGTGATCTTTGTGTTTTTCTGCTAAGATATAACCGTTTTAATGTAGTTTGATTTTGAAATTTACCCGTACCTATTGAAAAACCAATTTGAAAACGTACTGCTTTTGTTGCCTTTCAATGTTACTTTCGTGCTGCGTGAATTCTTTTGGAATCAACGGGTGTGTTCAGTTTTAAACCTTAAAAAGCGATATTTTCCAGGACGGATCATTGAAAGCTTGCAAATATCTTCTGGTACTCACCTGTTGTATCAGGTGTGACATGAGAAGTTCGCAAAATAATCTTAATAACAGTTTTTTTTTATCTCAATTCAAGGATTTAATACTTTTGTCGGGTTGTTTGCATCCCGTTTTTTGTTAGATAATAGAGAGTTTTTCAATCATAAATAAGGCATACGTAAACCAGAAACATTTACCTCATATAAATCACTATGTGCGTCTAACGCGATTTTTTACAGATGACGCTGGACACCTCCGTTTTATGCAGCTGCCTTTACTCGCAGTTTTACAAAAACCGCCGCAAAAGTGCAAAAAGTCGCTTGAAGCGTATTGCGGTGCAATTGGGCTAGACCACCGACGATATACAGGGTGTCTGCGAAAGGTTGGGAAATCTCGAAACTGGAGATACTACAGTCCAAAATATGTGAATTGACCTAAACATACCTTAGTCAAAGTCAAAGTTAAAACTTTATTTTCTAGTTTTCCTTATTGCTTGAGAAGTATTTCAGATTTTGGAATAAAACTTGGTATAGGGAGAAACAAGAATCCGTTATTTTTATGTCCAAACTTCTAGAGGGCACCACTTACAGCACTATTTCGGCAAATAACTTTTTTGTGCTACCCTGTATACAACAACTGACCGAAAAATGTTATTTTCTCGTAGTTCCACAACAAATGTTGTCTTGTCAGAAGTGCCTAAAGTTAATAGTTTTCGAGATATTTGTTTTTAAAGCATTACATCTTGCCAATCCGTACATCCGCATATCAGAATATTCATCAAACGTATACTCCATAATGTTTAACAACTTATTGTTAACTTGAAATTCCATGCATTGGAACTTTTAAAAACAAATATCTCGAAAACTATTATCTTCAGACACTTCTAACAAGTAAACCTTTTTTGTTGTGGAAATACGAGAAAATAAGATTTTTCGGTCAGTTGTATAGTGGGTAGCACAAAACAGTTATAAGTTATTTACCGAAATAGTGCTGTAAGTGGCGCCCTCTAGAAGTTTGGCCATAAAAAAAACGGTTCTTGTTTCTCATACTAGAAAACCTCCCTATACCGAGTTTTATGCCAAAATCTGAAATACTTCTCAAGCAATAAGGAAAAATAGAAAATAAAATTGTAACTTTGACACCCTGTATCTCGCAAACTATCAACTTCTGGACTAAGGTATGCTTAGTGCAATTTACATATTTTGGCCTGTAGTATCTCCAGTTTCGAGATATCCTAACCATACAATACAGGTTTTCTGAGAGCATCTATTCCCGAAAAACTCATTTATTAAAACTTGTACAATGGGCATACTAGTTGCTCTTCAACCTCCTTTACAACCATCGTCTGAACTCCTTTTTTCATTTTTGTTTATAAGATGTGAATATTTTTCTGTTTTACCCCTAAACTTGAAACCTCATCACCTGACATTTTAATTTATCATTTAATTAATAAACACAGACGAGCTTTGGTTTCCTTATTGCTTGTCCGGTGATAAGGTAATGACTGTGATCTTGTACGTACAAAAACCAATACAGGGAATGCGGAGTATGGGATTTGCGTACACAATTATAGGCAACCCAAATCTACGTCCCTCGTGTGCCTGACTGCGCAAGTGTACGCATATGTATGGTTTGTATGGTGTATAGAACTACATAGACTTTCGACATTCATAGGTTTTAACCTTATTTTTGATTATAATTCATTTTTGGTAAAAAACTTGAAATATCTTTATTATTAAAAAAAACATGGATAGTGAGGGCCTTTTTCGGCATTTCGGTAAAAACCCTGAAAAATCGGTAGGTTTGGCAACACTGAGCCAGGTGTAATAAAAACGACCCGACGTTGCCAAACTTCAGACGAAGTCTTGGACATAGGTGCTCTGCTCTTACGATATTCGCTCGATACCGTTTCAGGTTCATGGTAGCTGCTGGAGCATCGTACTTTCTAGACGGGGATGCATTCTGGCTGATGCAGTGTTTATATTTAAAATATATTATAGTATATGTATATCAACGATCTAAGACAACAAACGTTTGTTTGGTTTTCCACCTGTGAACGGTGGCAACGGCATAAAATACCATAACAACATCCCAATGTCACATAAGGCTGTCAAAAGTGAACCTTTACGTTTGCGGTATTGGTGTTTGCCAAAACTCTCTAATATTTGACAGATTCATGTTTCATCACAAGTTAAACTTCTGTTTGCTATAACAAAAACACTGGTAGTGTAAGCGATGTCTGAATTAGTTCCCATCCCACTTCTGACAACCGTTTTCACTGTCTGGCTGGGATAAATATTGAAATTGTGACATCTTTGATGGCTGAATGAATTTTAAATGGAAGGAACTGAATGCACCCAGCGTAATTTAACTGTTACCTATATGTGTAGTCATATATTTTAGTACTACAGAACGTTTGCTTCTGAAAAATAATCTTATATGACTGAATGACGACTGGAAAACGTTTTAATGAAATTATTTCGTATTCTAAGGATTTAATAAAGTTTTACAAAGGTAGGAGGTGGTTAAATACTCTTTTTGTTTCCTATTTTATTTCATTTTTTTTTCATTTGTTATGTATATTATGTACAGATGTAATTATTAAATATATATTTTTTTGAATTTGTTTTTTATTGTAACTATAGGTGTCAATCGAAAATAAATGTATTGATAAAGGAAACAACACAGCGTGTCTTTATTCGTTTATTTCGTACAAATTTTATAAATACCCTCTATCTTCTGTACATTTAAAAAATACTATCTATATAAATTTACAAGAAGTATAAAATTAGACAACCATAACTTACATATTATATAGCTTAAAAAATTACACGAATTCTACTTAGAACTAAAACGTTCTATAAGCATCATTGAATTACGTATTTCTAGAATATACCCAAACCTGTGGTGTATTTCAACGTTCACTTGAAATTTGCATCGCAGCAGTCACGTTGACAAGTATGATGTATCCTTTAGAAGACATAATTTATTTTAATTTTAAAGAGAATTACTCATCAACCTCCGTCGTAATTATTCTTAAATATCATATCTGGAATTTGTGCAAAAAATACAATAAGCTGTTTTACAATAGGATTATATTCTTGAGGGGTCCCTCCCCTTGATATACAGAAAAAATGTTGCTGACTAACTTTTCTATTAAACGTCACAGTTGAGAAAACACCTTTTCGCGTTTATTCATATAATTATAAATTATTCATGTAAGAGGTCAAAGAAGTGGTTGGGGATGGAAATATTTTTTTATTTATTTGTTTTGTATTGGAAAGTAGATAACAGTACATATGCAATAGTAGCTAAAAGTGAAGGCATTTGTGGTGCTTTATATTAAAAAGAAAAAATAAAAATGTTCAACTGTTTCTGCAAATTTCTGATTGTTACTAATTATTTGAGAATGGATTTTTTGAAGAGCTGTCAACGACATTGGATGATTCAAATGGTCTTATATTGGGCTCTGGCTCCCATTTGCTGGAGGTTCTACTACTTTTATTGTTCTTTCGCTCCCAAAGGTTAAAAACCTTCCCTTTTCGTCAAACTGTGTATTTTTCATCAGTGGTGAGCATCCTAATTGCAACAAAAACTTATTCCAATTGTTTATAAGGCAAACATGGATGTACCATTGGTGAAGCTTTTATGATAAAATATTAAACTTCGCCACTAGCAAGAGAATGAGTCCATTTGATGGATTCAGTGTTACTGGACAGGTAGCCAAAAAGGACATTTTTCTCAAAACAATTATAAACAAATTTGTTGAAGCGGTTGAACATTTTTGGATGGAATTTTTTCTGGTGTTAGCCTCCAACTTTTGATTATTATTTCAGATTTACCGTTACACATTTTCAAGCAAGAAATAAATGAAGAAATCGACGGTTGACAACGTTTTTTTATAATAAAAAATTAAATGTAAATTCGCCCTGAAGATATTTTCATCCATTACAAATTATTTTGGACCAATAATTCGTAACTATTTGAATATACGCGAAAAAAAGATTTTTCTAACTTTGACGTTTAAAAAAAAGTCAACAACTTTTTTGCATCTCTCGATAAGGAGCCCTATCATATATACCCTCAATAATATAATTCCTCTTAAAACCGCATATTACATTTTTTTCTGAAACAGGGTCGGTTTTTGGCTTGATACAATTTTCAGAATTTCCCGTGGCAACGCTAGCGCATAAAAACGGTGGTCGATTACGTATACAGTTGCATTGGGTATCTTCAGGTGGAATCCGTTAATCAATGATAGTGTTCTGTTTTCGAATTTCTTCGTGAAAAGAATTCGATTGAAATGTAGTTTTTCTCCAATAATGGTCATTTTTCAAAATGTGATTGGAGTCTGTGTTAAACGAACTAAAAAATATTCATATCACAGTAATTTATAAGCAAATATAAATTTTCTATCAAATGGTTAGTGTAATAGGATTATATTATCATCGGAAGGAATATGTTTCTTCTAGAGGCGTCGGATCCAGTTCAAATAGCACATCATAAACTATGTATCGTGAGTGACTTCCAACTTTTTATTTAAAATAAATATAGGTTTACTTTATTTCTTTGCTTCATGAGAATTCATGTTGAAATTCTGGATCAGCTTCCAGGAAAACGTTTGTAGGAGCTTACAAATCACAAACTGCTTTGAATTACGTTTGTATTTGCAATGTTTTCGTAATTTTAACGTTAACAGAACGCAGCAGTTAACCTTAAGATCACTTGATTCGTTTTTGCGATCAGATGTAAACCTGTTTTTTTATGAGTACAAAATGCAATCTGCATTACAAGATCAAATTGGTTCTCAATTGCATTACTGATCACAAAAATTGAGCATTGATAGTATGGGGCCATATGAACAAAAGTGAGCATATGATTATACTTGCAAAATTAAAAGTAGATGCTTTAAGCGGTATGAATAAAATTATAAGTGAAAGTATGAAGGAAATGCTCATGAAATAAAAGGATTGGCTTCTAACGTATGAATACAGCCAACCATTTTGCTTCCAAGTGGAAAACTGATCCTGCTATTTAGTAGCATCCGAGCTGTTACTTAGAGGAAAATGATTGAAATGATGAATCTCCAAAATGTGAAGTACAAGTAGCAACGGCGTACACTGCGAATGAATGATTTCAAAAGTATGCTCAGTGTTTAGCTCGGAACTTTTAAGGCGAGAGTGTAGAACGGGTTGGTGTAGTATCGGCTTTGCAGGGAACGAAAGTATATGTCAAATACAGTCCACTATTTATCGTACAGCGAGACTGGTGGTGAAAAAATAACGGGCTAATTGTTGGATTCGGTTTTCTAAAAGTCATCATGCTACAATGAAAGCCAAAGAAGTGTGCGCAAGCTAGTTCAGATTTCCGAATGTTATGATATGAACATTCCCCCTTTTTATGAAGCATTTATTCGCTTGCAAGTATAAGGTAATCATTATTCATATTGAATTTTGTTTTTCCTTCTACCTTATGCTTATAAGCATTTACATTTTTTATTCATATGGCCCAATGTTTCAACTAAGCCTTTTTCTGAGTTCGTCAGATTCAGTCTCCAACAAAAAGCATATCTTTAGTTCACCCAGTGTGTGATAAGTTGTTTTTATGTATTTTACGGCTTGCTTATACAGGGTCCGTCAGAAAGAACGCAGGTTTGTCGAATGGGTACTACATCGAGTGGGCTCGTCCCGTGTCGGTGGGGAAGGGCGTGTTGGATAGCGGGAGAAGTGCCGCAAAATGGCAAGCCTGTCGTACGAACGCGACGTGAGTTTCGCGTTCACCTTCGTGTTCCACCTCGTGGGACAGTACCAGACCGTAACATCATTTTGTAATGAGTGGAAGCATTCAATACAACAGGTAATGTGATCAAGAAAAAACCGCCAGGGCGAAACCGTACTGTTAGAACCCCCGAAAACGTAGACAGAGTGAGTGTTGACCCGCTGCTAAGCCCGAATCGTTCCATCCGTTTGCGTGCCAGTTCCCTAGGGATCCACGCGTCCTCTGTACGTCGCACCTTGAAGAAGGATTTAGTGTTCCATCCTAGCAAAATCCAAGTTGCCAGGGGATTATGCACTACGTGACAATTTTGCAGAGCTCATGATTGAACAGTTGGATAACAATGACATGACGTTGTTTATGAGTGATGTAGCACATTTTCATTTACATGGATACGTCAATAAACAAAATTGTCGATATTGGTTTCCAACAGTTGCATGAGTACCCCCTGCATACCCTGAAAGTTACAGTTTGGTGTGCAGTAGGCCTAACGATGATTATTGGTTCTTATTTTTTTGAGGATAATGAAGAAATAACTACTGTGAATTCAGACCGTTACATCCACATGATGAACATTTTTTCCAGAACTTCGACGTCGACGTGTCCGTATCAGAACAGGGTGGGTCATGACGATATTCTATGGCCCCCTCGCTCCCCGGACCTGTCAACGTGTGATTTTTTATGGGGCTACCTGAAATCAAAAGTTTACCAAAACAAGCCTCGGACCCTCGTCGAGGAAATAAGAAGAGAAGTAACCCAAATTCCTTCACGGATGCTGGCCGACGTGACGCAATTCGCAGTTCGGCAGAGGCTTGATTCATGCATTTCGGCTCAAGGCCGCCATATGGCCGACATAGTTTTTAGAACGTAAATTTTGTTTTACTCAAAAAATGGCATGTATTTCTGAGTATTTTGATAAAATAAAATATTTTTTCCCATACTGTACTACTCATTTTAAAAACATGCGTTCTTTCTTACGGCCCTGTATAATAGTCCAGGAAATATATTCGCATCTAATCGGAAAAATATTCTGATTCGGTTTTTTGTATAATTTTATTCATTTTATGAATCTGCCGGTTGCAATAGTAATATCTGGTAGATCTGGAATTTTAGACTATTAGGTTTCTTGGGACATTCTGAAGAAAAAAGGTTCTTATAAACTTTTTCCTAAAGTTGCTAGTTTCCGCGATATAAGCGATTTAGTGTTTGAATAAGTGCGAAAAACAATATGAAACAACGAATAAAGTTTAAAAATACACTATTCGTCCATTAACAAAAACCCAAAGCAATTTAGCGAGTATTGATATTTTAAACCTTAATTTTTGACTGCTAATCAAGCGTACGCCTTGTATATTCTGAGTGAGTGCTCCCTAAACTTCTTTGGGATTTTTTTATTGGATGTTTGAAGGATATTCAAGAGCTTGGGCAATACTACAGTTTCCGTTTTTTTCATATTGTTTTTCGGAGTCGAAAATGGCATATTTCGTAATTTTTACATATTAAAAGTAGCTTCAAAAACTGTCAACTTTAGAGAAACGTTCAATCGCGTTTTTTTCCAGAATGATACAGAAAAACTCAAAAAGCTCTCCCCTGACCGAAAATGTAAACTATTTTTTGAATGTATTTATAAAATTTTTTAGACAATTTTTGACGCATCTTGAATAAGATTGTACAAAAAGAAAAATCAGACTATTTTTACTTCCTTCTATAGATTTTAGAGAACCCACCAGTCATTTGTCCGTTTTTTATCAAATGAAAAGGCATTCATTGTAAGTATTTAATGTGGAAATATGTAATATAAATGAATAAGAAGACACAGACTGTTGTGTTTTAAAACCAGACTATACCAGAATAAAAAAAACTTTATTTCACCACTATGCCATATTTTAAACCTGAGTCTTTGAATATGAAACAACAGTGCTGGTGATTGATGTGGGTTAGAGTGACTTCTGGTACATTGCTAAATCAACACCGAAAGAATGTTAAAGAACACCACGGACGCCCGTAGCAACCTGTCTCAGGGGGGCCCGTCATCGTCAAGAGACAAATTATTGTGGACGTGCACCTGCTCCCAAAAAGAATGTTTTAGAGGAGGCCATTTGAAAAACCTCCGAAATTGTGCACACATTCGTGATAAATATGGAAATTTTAAGGTTCAACCGGATTCTCAGCAGAGGACCAAGGGCCCCTCTAGCATCCCCTGCGGGCGCCCTTGCAAGACACTCAGAAATTTAAAGTTGCAAATTATAATGTCGGCAGTATTGTATGTCAATCGAAAATGTTAAAAATCAGTCTTAATTTTTACAAGTTGATTCAATAGACACAAGAGAGCAAACCTCATTGCAAAAATAGATTCGGTCATAATGACGCAATATTTATTTTTTACTCGTATTACATAAATAATAAAATAGTCTAGTTTAACTAGATATGATAACTGAGCTAGGCCAAACCGCATTTTCGGTAAACTATAACGATAAACGTAAACGCTGAAAAATCAAGGTATGCATCATGGTTATGTGTTTCTATCTTTATTGAAGAAGCGGTTCAGATTCAAAATGTCTAAAATACAACGAATTCAGATTATGTGGAAGGAACCAGTCAAGGATCTGTTTGTTTCTTGATTTTGATAGTCTGTAGTGACATAAGTCAATTTTTTTAGAGTTCTGTCATCAAATTCGTACATTCGGCGTTATTTTAAAAAAATGCGAGTATTTGCATATAATTGTGGTTTTAGACGATTAAAAGACAAAATACTTACATAATTTGCAAAGAGTAGCACACACATAATGAAGGTAGATGTTTCCACTAGTGAATATTAACATTATGTTAATACAACGTTGTCACTTTGGTAGGCATTGGTAGACAAATAAGTCAAAGGTAAAAAACCACACAATTTTTGGCGACCAACAATGCAATGTAAACATATAGTCTTGGTTCCCTCTAATCTAGTCTAGTTCGTTGCTAAAATATATTTAACATGATGTTTCTGCTTTCCTTAGTCAGAATAACATTAGTTTGGTCACACTCGGTAGTAATTTATAAGACGTTCTAAAAATTTGCATAAAAATAGTAGCAAAAAGGCAGTGCTGGAATTTAAAGATCACATAACTAACAAATACGCACAGTCTATACACAAAAAAGGAGTTTTACACAGTAACTTCACGCGTGTTTTACACCAAAAATAAGCTTTCGAAATCTGTCAGTCAAGTGGGGAAAAATAAGTGTTGTTTGCAGCACGTTTAGATTTGAGAAGATACAACCCAACAAATAAATATTTTGATCTGAGTCATAGTCAGTGGGTTTTGAGCGTCAACACAGACAAAAAATTGCTGTAAAGAAGATCGTCTCTTATTCTGTTATACAATTTCTATTCTTAATTGAAACAAGTTATAAACCATAAAAATGCTGTTTTCAATTGGTCTACAAAACTTGGGAGGTACGATTCAGTGGTTTAAATACTCTGTATTGTATCATCTTTTTAACACAAGAATCTCCACTGTTTTCTAGGACCCTGCCTTTTATCTGCTTTAAGTAATATTTTTGCATTATTTGTTGGGTAGTATATTTTTATCCGATTTCCACGATTGAGATGAGCCTGAGCATTTTGTATTGGTCACATATGGTCTGTCTATATCACAAGTCTTCCTCATTGCTTCTTTTCCACTAAAGAACTATTCGGAAAACTGTATGACAGATACTGATTAAAATTAGGAATAAACTAAAAGTATCGCAGCTAGCTTTGCTAGCAGCTTCTTTATAAGGCAGTTTTTGTCCTTCTTCTATGTTAGGCGTACAGCCCATCCAGAATGGCGCAGAAGGTCGAGGTTCGTCATGTTCTACTCTCATGAAGAGGTCGTTGAACTTCCAGAAGCCTTTGCCCTTGAAGAAATACGTTTTTCCTGAAACAAAAAAAAATAAATATCAAGATTGAATATCCCACAAAAGACAAACTATCAGTTGTAGTATAGTTGTAGTCACTGTTCTCGGAGGGTCAAAGTAAGACTACCAGTAACCCTTTATATATCTCCATCTCCCTCATACATACACATGCAACCCACCCCTGCCTGCGAACGTTTATTCGGTAATCTCAAACACATACGTTTTTTAGATGTGTGTCTCCGTCTCGAAAACTTTGTCGATACCTTTGAGTGCCCTTCAATCATAGTTGTTAGAGTGACAACTTATTTGACATCGGCGTGCAATTCGAGTTGCCCTGTTATCAATCTTCAATATAAAATTGTACAATGCCCGGAAATACGATCAATGGAGAAGGCCGACAGCTTGTGCTAAATTTATTAGAGTATTTCCAGCAAGATAATGAATAACAGCGGTCCCCTGTTACCTACTTCATGCGTACTGGAGAGAGTAGCAGATGCGCCGAAGATTAGTCTGCGCAGTGTTCCGTCCATGGTACGGAGACTAGATCTGTTTACTTATTTCATATGGCGTTGATGACGTAACTGTCAAGAACGGTGACTACAACTATAGATTGATGTCTGTCACATTTATAAAGGACCTGAGGGTTTAGCTCTGTTTGGGGGTTGATCTACTATTGGAAACAATACAACAGCGAAGGCCGATTCATAACTGACCTTTGTCGTTGTTTGATCGCATAGCAGTTGGCGTTCAAGCTAAAAGTAGGGCAATCTATATAACTATATATCGTCCCTTGAATGCAGAAGTATTCTAAGTCACAAAATGCATATTTTACAGGAGAGCTATTTTTCGTGTTTGTGTCTTGCCTAACATTTCTGAGAAATTTTGGATGTAGAATGCTTTACCGGAAAAGAAGTATGACTAGTCCGTGAAAGTAGACTTATATTTGTTGCTGACATTGGACTTACAGTCGTTCTGTAAGTGATCATCTGCTCCTATCATAGTTATGCAGCCAAATGACGCGCCTCAAGCTATTACGCCAAAATATCGTTCAAGACCAGTGGTGGGGGAACACTTGCGCAGGGACTTACAATACCTCTGCATGCAATGTAGGTGACTATGACCTACAATGTCGTGTTAAAATCTGAAAAATAAAGAATTTGGACATAAAATAGTTCTGCATTCAGGCGACGATATGTAAACCCTATTTCACGAGAATACATCACGTTTTGGCGTCTTCTGAGGTGAACAGCTGATCAGCAAGTGAGATCTTTGTAAAGGGTGTTCAGATAAGGACGCTCGAAAGTTAAAATGGAAAAAAAAGGAAAAAAATTTAAGTCAGCACTAAAAGTCTATATTGATCGTAAATAGCATTCGACGATATTATGTATGGAAGATTATATCGTTTAAATGGCCACCGCGACTGCGCTGTACAGCGTGCATTCGCATGGTCCAATTTTCGAGCACTTTTCCGCACATTTCAGCGCCTACCTGTCCGAGGACGCGAATGATGTTGGCCCTTAATGCTGCAATTGTTTGTGGCTTATCCGCATACACTTGACACGTAGTCCCACAGGAAAAAGTCTAAAGGCGTTATATCGCACGATCTTGGTGGCCAGTGCACATCGCCGCCGCGCGAAATAATGAAACCGTTGAACTTTTCATGCAGTAAATCCAGCGTTGCGCGTGCGGTGTGGCACGTAGCGCCGTCCTGCTGGAACCAGATGTCTGTTAGATCCATATCGTCCAGTTGAGGCCACAGGAAATCATTAATCATGGCGCGATACCGATCTCCATTGACCGTAAGCGCGTTGCCCATAGCGTCCTCAAAAAAATATGGACCGATTACGCCGCCAGCCCAGAAACCGCACCATACAGTCACTTTAGCAGGATGCATAGCAATTGAGCAAGTCACTTCAGGATTTTGGTCAGCCCATATACAGCAATTCTGTTTATTGACATACCCATTCATCCAGAAATGCGCCTCGTCGCTGAAGATGATTTTTCGTGCAAATGCAGGGTCGACTTGCAACTGCTCTAGAGCCCATGCGGCAAATGTACGGCGCTGTCCATGGTCTTGCGGTTTCAATTCTTGCGTCAATTGAATTTTGTACGCGTGCAATTTCAAGTCTCGACGCATAATTGTCCATGTTGAGGTCTTTGGAAGGGCAAGTTCTTGTGCACGTCGTCGCAATGACTGATTCGGGTCTTGACGCACGCTCTCTCGCACAGCAGCAATATTCTCGATTGTTCTTAATGTTCGTTGCCATACGGGTGTTGTTTGGTCTGCCACTGAGCCAGTTCTCTCAAATTTATTGAGCAGACGTCGAATAGTGGACTCAGCAGGACGGCCATGCGCACCATAAATTGGACGCAATGCGCGGAACGTTTCACGAACCGAACATCTGTTTTGATGATAAATTTTCACAATTTCCACGCGTTGTTGAATCGTGTACTGCTCCATGATTAAATGTCAAGACTAACTTAATAACCTCACAAAATTTGACAGCTGTATCCCCACCGGTTTGGGCGCGCGCGCCGTTCAAACATCGAGCGTCCCTATCTGAACACCCTTTATTAACGTCTGTAACTCTGGCAATAATGAATCGGGTGTAAATCTATTAAAAGTTGCTTGTAGGTTTTTTTGTATGCAAATGAACTTTTCTAAATATAAGAGTTGTTAGCTAGTACAAAACGAATCTGTAGCATACGAAAAACCAAAACAAAATACGGCTCTGTCTACCTGGCATTGACGGATACGTCAGATTATGGGTCGTTCGCCGATATGGGGAATTTTAAAATATTACTAGTTACTCAGCTGTCCTTCTACCGCCGAACGACCAACGACCAGTTTATGAGTTTATGAATCGGGGTTATTGCTTAATTGAGAGACGTTCAAGGGAGGATTCAACATTTGCATTTCACAGTAGGCTGTAATAGATATCATCACAGGCCTTTATCAATGTCAGAAATATTTTTGTTTGCTAGTGGTATCTATCTAGCATGTTGATGATAAGTTTGGTATGGTGAAAGGAATTTTTGTGCTAAACATGTTACTAAACTATGGAAAATGGTATTGTATAGGGTGGGCCATCTATCGGTTTCGATTTGAACCACGTGTTAATTTGACGCTGACAATACTTATGTCAATCTGATTTGTCATAAAATTCAGTATATTATCTCCGCTGAACGAAATGAATCGATTTACGCTTGAGCAACGTTGGGTAATATTGGAAATTTATTTCCAAAACAAAGACAATTGGGCAGAAATTGCACGAAAATGCCGTTCAAAATTCGGTCGCAACGAAGCACCAACAGCGCCCGGTATACGCAAGTAAAGTGCGTGAAACTGGTTTCATTGTTGATGCTCCAACACGTCAGCGTGCTCGTACAGTGCGTACACCCGAAGGTATCGATGCTGTGGCTGCGAGTGTGCGTGAAAATCCATCAACGTCAACACGTCATCGTTCCCAAGAATTGAACATTTCCCGCACCAGTTTACGACGAATTTTGCGGAAAGATCTCGGTATGACGCCTTACAAAGTTCAATTGGTTCAAGAGTTGAAGCCGCGTGACCATCCACTTCGTTCTGCCTTCGCTACATGGGCCAACGAGCAACTAATCAATGATGTCGATTTTGCGAAAAAAATAATCTTTTCAGACGAAGCTCATTTTCATATTGGTGGCTACGTCAATAAGCAAAATTGCCGTATCTGGGGCTCGGAAAACCCACACGAGGTCTTAGAGAAGCCAATGCATCCCTTGCGAGTGACTGTTTGGTGTGGATTGTGGAGCGGAGGCATCATTGGCCCATATTTCTTTGAAGACGGGGACGGCGCAACCGTTTCTGTCAATGGAAACACCTATCGCACCATGATAACTGATTTTTTTGTTCCTGCTCTTGATGGTATTGATGTGGAGAATGTTTGGTTTCAGCAGGATGGTGCAACTTGTCACACATCGCATGCCACAATCAACTTATTGCGCGAAACCTTCGATGGCCGTTTAATCAGTCGAAATGGTGATGTCAATTGGCCGCCAAGAAGCTGCGATTTGACACCATTGGACTATTTCCTGTGGGGCGCTGTTAAAGACAAGTGTTATGTCGACCATCCAGAGACAATTGACCATTTGAAGGCCAACATTCGTGATGCCATTGACGAGATACGGCCCCAAACACTCGAAAAAGTGCTCGAAAATTGGTCCGATCGAATGGGCTACTGTGAGGCCAGCCGCGGCAGCCATTTGAATGAAGTAATATTTCATTTCTGAGCGGAACAATTGTACTTCAAAACAAAAAAATAAATTTGGCAATATCTCAAACCGTTTTTGTTTTATTTTATTTTTAAATCGAAACTTTTAAATGGCCCACCCATTACTTGCTTTTTCGAATTTATTGCGGAATCGGAACCAGTAAAATGTTCATACAGGCAACCAGTATTACAGCGTGCTTTTTGTAGAGACCTGGGTCTTACATTGCCTATTTCCCTCGTCTTAATTTCTGCCAATCACAAACGCGTAATTTTGCATTAAAAATAGTTTCTAGATGAAAAAATTGCATGACTGCATCTGTCAGTAGTTTTTTCGAGTTCACCCGCGGCAAAACTTGACAGCTGTTGTCACCAAAAGTTACAATACCTTTGATAACAAGTAATTATGATCTCTTAGGACACCAGATAATCTGTTACTCATGAAAAAGTCTTGGCAAATACCATTTGGGCATATAATTTTTTTCTGTGAAAAAATCGAAAAAACAATGCAACGTTATATTTTTTTTAACAAGAAATATTCGTGCAGGTGCAAAAATCCTCGAATTCGACTCGGATTTTTGTTGCCACCAGCACTCACGCTTGTTAAAACATTCCTTAGCAACGTGTTTTTTTCGATTTTTTTCGGAAAAATTAGGTGCCCTTGATATTACTTATGAAAATCGATATGATAAAAAAATTGGTATAATGTCAACTTGTAGAAAAATGTCCAATGAAAATACAAGCAAAAAACTTGTGAAACAACATCAAGCAAAGGGAAATAACCATAGTTTAGTTTCTGAACTGCAATATATTTACTACTCGTATATTAGACCTATGCATTTTTGTTCTTTGAAACATCCCAAAATTGAAAATAAACAACAAACAATTATGGAATATCTTGTCTGAATAGTAAATTCTCCCAATCTATAGGCAGCTTTTTAAAAACTAATTCATAGAAAATATGGACATTTTACCAGCTGTTACAAAATCATTCTACTTAACTCTGTTCTCCCACATCTTTTTCAGTTTACTGGTTCTTTTATGTGTATTATTTCCGTTAAGCTTCTTGCAATTCATTTTCAAGCATTGTTCTTCAAAGCGATTGAACAGCTATCAGTTTTTGTTTATTTTCAACGATTCCCTCAAATTTGTCTAGTATCACAGACACGTGCATTTTCTTTACCTCGCTAAATTTCTTTCTGGTTTCGGTATTACACGTTATGAAATGGTTATGAAAGATTTGTGTTTTTTTGAAATATTGTACCAAGCTACCAAGTAGTGTAGCTAATAATCTGTGGTCCAGCCCTCAAGGAAGCGTTACATTATTTCCTAAGGTAGGTCAATCTTCAAACGGCACTCATATCTCAAGGGACGTCTATAAAACAGACTCTGAATTTCTCTCATATTACCAACGCAGGGGTTCCACAGAGATCGAACTGGCCTGAGTTGCACTTCTGTCTTAATCTTTTTTGACAGGTGAAAGATTTTATAGCCACTCATGGGCACAAAAGCTCGACAGGTGCCTTTCCTGCCGTAAGTGTGAGATTCTCCAAAATACGGCGTACCAAGGCCCGTATCGTCAGTCGTCCATACCACATACAGCGTGTTCAACCTCTCCTGTCCCGGGATTATGAGCCCCGAGTTGCTTTTTGTCGCACAATGTTAGAAAGACACAGGAAAGATCCACAGTTCTTTGAAAAAATTTTATGGTCGGATGAGACCACATTTAAGAAAGGTGGGTACATGAACCTGCATAACTTACACGAGTGGCACGTAGCAAACCCACATTTGATGAGAGAAGATAAATCTCAATATCGCTTCAAGATAAACCATTGGACGGGAATTTTAAATGGTAAAATAATCGGTCCGTTTGAGTTCCCAGAGACTTTGACTGCTGAAGTTTATTTGGATTTTTTGAAAAATCATGTACAAAATTTATTGGTGGACGTGCCACTGAGTATTTACAGGGACATGTGGTTTCAGCATGATGGCTGCCCAGCGCACTATGCACTCTCAGTGAGAGAGTATCTCGATCAAAACTTTCCAGGCAGATGGATAGGGCGGTCTGGTACAATACCGTGACCAGCCCGGTCACCAGATTTGAATCCGCTATATTTTTTTTACTGGGGAACTGTAAAAGAAAAAGTGTATTTCAAGCCGATTCAAAATGTAGCTGAGCTACGGCAAAGACTATTGGAAGCAGCTGAGTTTGTTAATAACCGTGGATTCGCTCGTTTAATAACCCGATCTTTTTTTAAGAAGATGTCGAGCGTGTATTGCGGCTGAAGGAAAACAGTTTGAGTATTTGGTGTAAAGGTAAATCATCATCAGCAGCATTTTGACGCCCACTGTTGTGCAAACAGTTATCCTTAAGGGTCCTTGTGCGTTTTCATAATCGCTGTTTAATTAGGAAATTTTGAAAAATTTTCATCAGTTTTTCTTCAAATAAAAATTGTGCATAAGTTAACGAGTAATCTTCTAAGTGTTATACCATTTTGGAATCCTTATAAAATGCGCCAACTTTTAAGGTTACTTGCCAAACTCTCGTAGTACATTTTTTCCAGTACAGCCAGTTAAAGTTGAGCAAAGTTTTACTTTGGAATACTTGGTTGGGAAATAAGTGGCAATTTTTCCTGAACGAGAAAAGTTGGCAGTAAGGTTGAGACACCAGTTTGAAGATGCATTATTCATCATTACATTGTAAAAATAAAATCCAAAAAAAGTTAATATTTGTAGTAACAGGAGTTGAGAGACTGCCGTAGGGTGTGAAATTTCTATATTTTTTTCAAAGACCTATAATTTTCAAAACACATACATAAAATTATTTTAAATCTTTTTTTGATAGCTGTTATGACTTTGCCTATCACCCGGTTTCGGCTTGACGTCGACTTCTGGGACACCCTGTATATAACTATAATTTACCATCTTTCCATTGGAAAACTGCATCAATATCTCGCCCTACGCCTTTCCAGCTATCTGTGATTTTTCTCGGATAGTCCAGTTCCACTTTTTGAATTTCCTCATCGAATCTGAAAAGTAAGAAAAATGACTTTATTGACTTCATAAGAGTTTATGACTGGTTACACCGCCTTGCTAAACTGAGTCCTAACCTCAATGGTTTTGTTACACCAAACAAACTTAAAATTTAAGTGGTCAAATGAAACTACATATGTATATGTAGGTACCCAAAAAGGATGCATCAAAATATTTCGAAAAATATTTTTCCCAGAAATAACGTTGTGGACCATCAAGGTCATTTGAAGAACAAGGCAGTTTTCTTAAATTGAAATCCTTCTTCTTGACACCGGAAATGGAAAGAGCGGGAAATGTTACGTCAAATTTGTGTATGCCAGTGACCTTTTACCATGACCTTCATGTGTATTTGAGAGTATCCAAAAAATATCGAAATGACAAGATATTTTGAGAAATACGTGTCATAAAGAAAAATGTAGCAAAACAAAGTTGCATGGTTTGAAAAGGGTCAATGAACGTGATCTTGAATATGACCTTCAAGATAAAAGTTTTCTTAAATTTAAACCCTTGTTTTTGATACCAGGAAATTAAATAACAGAAAACTTTATGTTCAAAGATGACCTTGATTGATCAAGGTAATTTGACGATCAAATACATGTTTAACGGTAAACATCTTTTAATTCCGAAAATAAAATTGCAGAAGAATTTTATGTTCAAGTCGTTCCTTGTCAATGACCCTTACTTCAATTTTACTTGAATTGTTAAACGTTCAAGTAAGACTCTGTCGGGGTTTCATTTTCATGGACTTGACCGTCACCTTGACTATGACTTTCAAGATTATTTAAAGGTTAAATGGATTTTTCAACCTGATACTCCTATTGTTGCTTCCCGAAAAGTGATTTCACGTCTTGCATAGTCCTCGCTCATCGGAAAACGCTTATAAAGGATCGTGTTCAAGGTCACGATCAAGGTCACTTTTAGATTACCATTTTTATACCTTATATGTTTGTAGCATGTCTCTCTAGCCAGCGTATTTTTCGAGGTACTTTGTGTCCTTGGCCATACCTCTTGGACGCGCTGGAATTACCTTGAAGGTCATAGTCAAGGTCATGAACAAGGACTTCAATTTAACGTAAAATTTACCGTTGTAAAAAATACGGGTTTTTATTTAAGAAAACTGTAATGACCTCCAAATAAGCTTCAAGTTCACCATTCTACGTATTCCTCAAGATATTTTGATGAATCTATACTTTCAGAATACAAATTACTGACTTTGCAAATTGACCAAACTTCGTCATCTGAACTATACTTATGTATGTTATTTGTTACAATAAAGTCGATTGAATTGAATCATTCACCAGTTATGTTAAATTACCAAACTCACTTCCAATATTTATTCCCGCTATAAAAGTAAGTTTTCCCGTTATGTCCCCAAACCATGGCCCCATCAATTTTCTTGAGGTCACTAGGCAGCCCCAAATTGGTCAACTTCCTTGGATATCCGTGCTCCACTCTGTTATTGTAGAAGACGTAGTAGTTGTCATCTATGAAGAATACGATTCTTCCATCTGGTCTCTCGTAGACGGCGTCCACGTGAGTCAGATTCATGGGCAGACCGTGCCAGAAACGTTTGATCTCTGCTGGGTAGCCCGGCATTAGGCCACTCTCGTCAATTCTCCAGAAATACTGCAAGAAAAAAATATTCGAACTGTAGTTGATTCATATACCCTATTTCACGAGTATCCATCACGCTTTGATGTCTACTGAGGTGAACAGCTAATTAGCAAGTGAAATTTTTGTGTTAGTTGTATGTTTTTTGTATGCAAATGATCTTTTCTAATTAAAAGAGCTGTTAGCAAGGACAAAATGAATCTGTAGCGTACAAAAAACCAAAACGAAATACGGCTCTGACGGATCCATCAGAATTACGTGTCCTTTTTTTATACTCCAACTACCACGAAGGCCTAGGTCTAAACAGTCATAGGGTACCGTCCTGTGCTGATATGAGGAGTTTTGAGATATTACTAGATAATCAGCTGTCATTCTGCTGTGATTCTGCCGTGATGGATACTCGTGAACTAGGGTATAGGTTTGATCGGCCCAACCATGAAGGCTAGATATCGGAGGTTAAACTGCATATGGGAAAACACGTATTCGTATGGTGGGCGTGGCTCTCGAACATGAAGCGTGCGTAAAGCTTCTGCGCATGTAGATACATGCACGTGAAAGAGAGAGATGCAGACATCAGAGAAATGCCACATGTGCAGAACCTAAGATACATTTCTAACATAGTCTAATCATGTTAGAGGCATAAATCTCTGGTTTGCGAAATAATTGTAAAGTCTGGTTTTATTAGTGCAAGTTGTTCAAGGGGTTATTTAAAACATGAACGCATTAAATGGATACGCCAATTTTTGTGGGAAAACTTTTTATTCGACAACAAAGAATCAGATAGCCACTTTTTTTTTATTCAATCGAGTGAAAGTGTTGACAGGAACGGAAAAACTCTTCAAATAAGATTTTTAGGTATTTATGAGAGCTACAGAATGAGACTACACGTAAAAATATACCACTAATAGTAAAAAAGTTATGGCCGAAAACCGAGGAAAAATGCAGGTTTTGTCACTTGTTGCTAATGTGACGATAATTAAACGCAGCTACTTGAAATTGGATTTTTTATCCCAAAACATCTGTCTTCCTGCCAACACTGCTAGTTTACTGAGCAATATACAGGATTCGTTAAAAGGAATTCTATAGCAAAAGACCCGAATCTTGCCGACGTGAATCACAAACCATTCCGAAAGATAATTGTTATTTTTATGCGGAAAACGAAGGTTTACGTCATTTTCTTCTAGACAAATTCACACATCTCGTATATGTGAGTAACTGAACAGATTCGTTACGATATACGAAAAACATACGTTAATATACATATTTTAAAACACAGCGGATGTGGCCATCACCTTTTGTCACGCAGAAAACATTTTTTTTCAAGATTCCTGGATACTCTTGTGTATACATATTCAGAGCTGAAATTTTGATACGGTCACAGATGAGCTGTAAAGTTCATAAAAAAATATTCCATACTGAAATGCGATGAACTGTTTATAAAGTTAGCAGGCAAACTGAAGACACAATTGTTTCAAACTGCCTTAGACTAGTTAGTATGTAGCATGTGCTAAATGACTGCATTATTGATGAGTGCATGACTTTGTCGAATAAGTAGGTCACGTAATCCAGTTCCTTTACGAAGAAATATAATTCCCTATAGTTTTCTCTAAAAGTATTAATATAGCATACGTATGTTTCCGCAATATCGTTCGACTGCGAGTTCAAAATGTTGGAAAATGAACCCGAGAAAACGAAAAAAACAGTAGACAAATATCAACCATTTGTAACGAACTGACCATCTTAAAAATTAGGCAAAATGCTCGTTATTAGTCCCTAATACCTTATTTAAAGATTCAACATTGTATCTTGTATGGTTTTCAAGAGTACTGTAATTGTTTATAACAGATTTGCTATGCCTCCAACGTTCGTTTGACATTTGTCAGTGTCAAGTATCTTTAGTGGTACAGGATCCAGTAAACCAAGAGGCGTCGTAGTGTAATGGGAATGATTGACGATTGCAGAACCGCAGGACGGAGGTTCGAATTCACGAAGCTCCTTTTTTCTCTATTATTTTGTTTCATTTTGAGAAATAAATGCTTTATCACTTTATGTTTACTTTTTTATTGATTGATTTATCAAAATCGAGAAGTGACATACTCTTCTTTACATGACATGACAAACCACGCCAAGGTGTGTTCACACTTTATATTCAAGTAGTAGATAGAGCGCCTTGATTCTCGACACTTTTGACTTCACCCACTCTATGAGTTCAACCTCCTATCTAGTCTTCATAGACTCGAAGTGAATGTATCCAATTATGAAATGGTAAGGGTAATAACTAATGAATTCAGACTAGGTAGCAGGAGCTAGTCAAGTATAAGCTTGTCTCCTAATTCTCATAAAGCAATTTTAAGCGATCTACCAATCATAAAACCGATCGTATTTGGTTTTACTTCAAGCGATGCGGTTTGTAACATTTGTCAACTGATGACGTCACGAACTGTCACTTCGTGACGTCACTGTTACCGACACTTAAGACCAATAACAATCTTGCACGAGTGTTGGTTCTTAATGTCAAATGACAATCAATGAATATAAAATAACCCTTTCCTATGTTTTTGTGCCCTTTGTGTTTGTTTTGTGTCATCTGTGACATAATTTTCCGTAACAAGTTATCAGTGAAAAAAAAACAATATTAGAAAACTACCCAGTTTTTGTGGAGTTATGCATTGTAGCAACCCTGCCCCCAGCTCTCTCTTCTGTATTTGAAGGACAAATTATAGAATAAACAAGGGCATAATCGAGGAATTACCGCGGTTCATCGCTGAAAATTGCTTATAGTCTGTGGTGAGAGGATCAAAGTGCACTTGCCATAAGTCATCTTTTTGACAGTTCTGAATTTAAATTCGTATATTTGTTTGCAGATAATTGTGGTTTTAGACGATTTTAAGACACGGTACTTCTTACATAATTTGCAAAGAGCAGCACAAGAATAATGAAGGTAGATATTTGCAGCGGTAAGTAATATTATGTTGATACAACGCTGTCACTTTGGTAGGCATTGCTAGACAAATCAGACAAAAGTAGTAGTAGTAGTTGGTAGCAACCAGTACAATATCTCTATACAGAAATAACCATAGCAACAGTGTTCGTTAACGTTGTCAGTATAAAAAGTTTTGGTATGACATCTTCAACATTGGTCGTATTTTTGGCTGGAAGTCAACGTCAATTACGCTGTCTAACGTTTTTCTAACGTTTTCACAATTTTCTTATAAAAATTATGTAAAAGAAATATCCATTTGATGATGCTCCAAATATTAGGATTTTGATCTCGGTATTTGAAACCAACGAATAAAAGTGAAACAAACCTTCTGCGGGTGTGTAAAACATTTTAATAGTCAGTCATAATCATATACATAAGTATAAGAGTTGAAATATACTAAGTGACATATAAATCCGAACACCCAGTTTAAATGGTTTTATTTTAATAAAATTTTGTATAAGTTTGTACTTAATGAAGCATAATAAGTAAATGATAAAAATTTCAAAATGATTGCACTGCTTTAAAGCCCTTTGATCTTTAATAATGTGTGGATGCACCCTGATGTGCTACGCATTCTCCAACGCGCCTAGGCATGCTTCTGATCAGGTGGTCAATGTCCTCCTGTGGTATCTCATTTCAGGCAACCACCAACTCCTCTCGAAGTGCTTCTAGAGTCTGAGGAGGACGTTGCAAATTGAGCAATCTCCTACCCATGATATCCCACACGTGCTCAATTGGGGATAAGTTGGGAGATCTTGGTGGCGATGGTAACAATGTGACATCATTATGTTGAAAGAAGTCTATTGTAACTCTTGCAACATGTGGTCGGGCATTATCTTGTTGGAAAGTTGGATCTGCCAGGGTGTCAAGATAGGGTAAAAGATGGGGTTCTAGAACTTCGTGGATATAACGCTGCGCGTTCATGTTACCTCTGATGAAGATTAAAGGTGACCTGGAACCATAAGCTATAGCACCTCAAACCATAACTCCAACAGTGTGATGAACATGTCTTTCAACAAAAAACTGTGGATTCCTCCTTTCACCACGTCGCCTTCTAACCCTGGCACGACCATCGTGCATGCCTAAACAAAATCGAGACTCGTCACTAAAGACAATACTGTTCCATTCCTGATCCCAGAGTGACCGTTGTCTGCACCACTCAAGGCGATTACGTCGGTGTTCGAGGACCCAGTGTGGCTGGTATGAAAACAAGCCAAAACTTCTCATTCGTCGGTAAACACTTCGCATGCCAGTAGGTCTTCCGTGTTCTGCAAACCATTCATTTGCAATGGACCTGGTAGTGGAGAAACTGTCCCTTAAGGCCAATAATCTTAGGCGGTGATCTTCACGCTCTGTTGTTCTACTGCGGCGTCCTGTGCCCCTTGCTCTTTGCGTACGGCCTTCTGGAAGCCATGCCTGACAACACCTAACCACAGTGTCTACACTTATTTGCACTCGAACTGCAATTGCCCGAAAAGGCTGAACATTTTTTCACTTGTTATTTACAGTAAGAAAAATACATTCACCAACTTTTATTAAAATGAAACCATTTAAACTGGGTGTTCGGATTTATATGTCACTTAGTATACGTATTTTTTATGATGATACACTCATACAACTTGTCAATTATAGTCATATGCATAAGCCCTTGTCATAAGCATAAAAATGATCACTTTGAGGTTCACAACATTTAATTCTTAGAATAATGTGATCATGACAATGCAAATGTTGTATAAACCAGCCTTCAGTCAGCAACTAGCTCTTAAAACATTAAAAACTCGAATAGAACGCAAAAAGGAGTAAACAAACAGAAGACACAGAGAGTCTAGAGACCTCAAAAATATACTTTTACAAAGCGGATTTGTGTCACTTTTCCGCAGGTAGCATTTTATTGAGAACTACATTAACAAAGCCTCCTACGTGTTTCAACAGTTTCATTTTGAGAATATATTGGTACCACAAATGTACATATAAAGAGATTTTCACATAGTTGGTTTTTCTTGACGGATGTTATTAATGCAAAACATTTCATAATTTTGGAGGCTCCCATCAAGCTAGAGCTCTGGGGACGGGCTCTGTGTGCTTATTGGGTACAATTCCGGAATTTCAATTCGGACGGGCGTGCAGCATTTCGAAAGATCATCGTGAACAAAATTTCAACCCAAAATACTTCAGAAAATGATAATAGCTGACAAACGTTTTAAAATGAATTCAATAACAATAATTATAAAAATTAATGTTTAAAAACGCAATAAATTTTACCAATTCTGAATGCTTCCGGAATGTTCATAAGCAATACTTTTTCGATGAAGGGATCTTTCAAATTCTGAACTGAGCAATTTTTAATTTAATTTAATTTAACTTTTTGTTAGAGTTTCCAAATTTCAAAAAGGAACCCCGACGATATTTTCTTGATACTTAGCTTGAAATATGTGTTATGTTGATTCTTTGGCGTAGCAACTATGACCACTACAGAGTTTTTTCAAATCCAAAATCGGTTATTTAAACGTGTTTCGCTATGTTAGTAGAGTCTGCGAAAACAAAAAGTGCACCAATTTTGGTCTAACCAACAAGATTAAACATCGGTTTAAAATAAAGAAATCTCAAAAAACTTTTCCGGGTTGTTGTAAACCAAAACTTAAATTTTAATTTGAATACATATGGCGACCTCCAAAATTATAATCTTTAAGTTGTTAAACATTGAATTTAACCAAGTTTAGGGATTTTTAGACATTAAATTGATTATAACTAACGTATATTCATGTAAAATAATCAGCCTAAGAGAATATTTGATGCCAGACTTTTTGTTAGAAATGATACAAACATGTCCAAGCAAAAAACTTTGTAATTTATTTGAAAAAATGTTTAAAGCAAATTTGATCTGGGTTACCGTGCGGGATTCATTGCTTAAAAACTCGGTTAAAAATTATAATTTTTAGGTCGCCAAGTATCTAAATTAAAGTTAAATCCTTGGTCTACAAGACCTCGAACCGTATTTTGAGGATGGTTCTTTTTAAAGCGGTTTCAACCTTGTTTTCAGGCCAAAATTGGCGAACTTTTGGTTTTCGCACTCCAGAGGAGGATTAATCACATTTAACAAACCGGTTTGGCGAGCGGTAAAACTCTGTAACAGTCACTTAGGTTGGTCTTACCGCATCTTTGAAAATGAACACTTCCCGCCTGATGACAGCGACAGCGTCATAACTAGTGTCGCACGTATCCGGAGCGGGCAGAGGAGACTCTTTAGGCGGTCCATGGTGGGGATGATTTTTCCCGGGCAGCGATTTGTCCGGATTAGATGGGCGTGGTCTGGTGGGCGGTACACGCTCTGGGTGGTGCGTATCTGGACTCTTCTCTGGTTGGTGGTGATCTGGGTGCCGCCTATCTGGGGTGTGGTGATGCGGGTGACGAGGTTCTGAACCTACTGGCGTCGTATCTAGAAATTAAAAGACAGTGAAATAGATTAGAGCAATTTTTGGACCGTTGAATAACAAATGGCGTCTAGTAGACTGACTCTATACTCCTTGTGCCTTTATTGGAGATTTTAAAGTATCGTTCGAAAAGGCAAAATCGTGATCAGGTAGTCTCACTTAGGTACGATGAATCTTCGATCTCTGCGTATCAAACTATACAGGGTTTCGCATTTAAAACGAAACAGACGCATTTACTGGCAGCTCAGTTTTTTTTGGAAAACCGCTAGGACCCGTCGATTTTGTTTTCGAGGGGGACACAAGTCGGGCAAAAAATCACGTTAACACGTGCAGCCCTCTGGGCGGGGGTGACACCAACCCTAAAATCTTAAAAGGAAAGGGGGGTCGAGTGATAGGTACCTTATTTTAAAGGTCTTTCAATTCCATTTATAATGATGTAAAAAACATGAGCTTCAGTTCGGTAGTTTTGAACATTTATTGATTTAAAGCTTAAAGTAGACTTTAATAGGTACATCAGATTAGTTTGTACTACTTTCAGAAGAAATTTGACTAAAAGAATTTACTTAATAAGTAAATGCTTTTTTTCACTACGCCCATGGTTTGTTTATCATTTTGTTGTTGAAAATAGCTATTAGAGCGTTTTTTTGTGGCAAAATAGTTATTTCTTGAAGAAAGATTAGGAAATATCTCGTACTTATTTTAAAGAGGAATTAAGTACATAGTTTGCGATTGATTTGACCAAACTTTGTTGCTAAAATAACTTGTAACGCTTTATCACATAAATTAACCATGGTATATTCCACTGCAGAGAGTTGAAGTTATCGAAATATTTTTCGGAAATAATCAGTGCGCTAATAGAACAGCAGAAATATTTAATGAGCGACATGAGAACAGTAACGTGCATCGAAAATATGTTCTAGAACTTGTAGCTAAATTTCGGGAAACTGGGTCAGTCGCCAATAAAAAACGCAACATTGAAAATCCCATAAGGAACGAAGCAATAGAAGTGGGGGTTTTAGGGCAAGTTTATGTAGAACCTATGTTAAGTACCCGCAAATTGGAGACTGTGTGTGGTGTTAAAGGCCCATAGTCATAAAATTCACCTGGTATAAGAACTTAATGAAGACGATTTTGATCGGCGATTACAATTTTGTGAAGATATGAGTGAACGAACTGTAAACGATGAACATTTTCTATTCAACACTTGCTTTTCCGACGAATGTTCCTTTTTCTTAAATGGCGTAGTTTCGTTTTCGATGCGCCACCCTGTATAAAGCAGACCTATAATATTTCTGGGTCCATGGCAGATGGAGGGAATCATATCCATGAGATAAGAATAATAGAATTATTTCATTTCCGCCGCCTCTAAATCAATTTTCAAAATCTACGACTACCTAAACTGTGGAAGTATTAAACTCGCAATAGTAGATATTCGAATTTCAGTTCACAAGTTTTCTGTTGCTTAAATATATCTGCATCACACAGGTCCGTGTTTATCATTTGTCGATTTGACAGTCCGTGTCTGTTGTACATGAATGCGTCTGTACTGAGTAAATCGGCTTGACAAAATATTAAGGGAACCATTATAGACCGAGTAACAAAACACAAAATGGTTAGGCAACGTGGATGGTACATTTAAGGATGATAAAATTCAGAAAAATATATGTGTATATACAAAAACAGTATTCCTAATATCCAAATGTTCCTAAAATATATAATATTCTCCCGTAGCGTTGTCAGTGTCGCAGGTTCACCAGTTAAAATTTGTTACTTGCTCAGTCACAGCTTCGCGTTGTGCACGTAATGCGAACGATTGCAAGTTATTGCCAATTACGAGAACATCGGACCTTTATCATTTTCATGTTGTTACCGCGATCAGAATAAGCTTCCTAATAGAACGTCTTTGACAAATGCTAAAGATGTAGCATTCACAACACCCAACCCCCAAATTTTCAACCCCTACAAATATACTAAGTGACATACAAAATGCAACACCCAGAATTATTTTTATTGAATTTCGATAAGAACTTGTAAACATATTTGCTATCATATATATATATACAGGGTGACTTCGAAGTTGAGTCATTTATTTTAACAGTGAGTAGATCTGATCAAAAGAAATGTTTTTTCCTTTAACATTTTTCTGGTAAAATTAAAGTAACAAAGTTATAGCCCTTTAGAAGTTTGAGTACCTACCGCCCTGTCTCAATAATAATATTATGTGCTCGTGTTTGGCAACAACGGATATAATCCCCCTTATCGGTTCATCGCATCGGAAACAAAAAAGCGAAAGAATTTGAAACGCTTATCACGATTTTTTTACTACAATTTTATTCAGTTGTATTCAGTCAATGTATCAGTCGGTAACGCGTGAGTGAATAGTGGTGTTTGTTGCGTGGCTCAAACGAAATAAAAAATGGCACATGTTTACGAAAATGCTGAACTTGTGGACATGATTCTTATTTACGGGGGAAGTCTTTACAAAATGCTGCCGCGGCATCACGGATTTATGCAGATCGGTAGTACAAAGGGCTCGTGAATCAGGTGACTTAAGACCTCACAGGGGAGGGCATGCCGGTGCTCCAAGACCGCACGATCAAATTCAGGTCCGCACTGAAATACTTGTCGGGAGGATACTTTATAAAACAAGGTAACATTTTTTTTTTATTTTTACACACATATTTTGGTTCATCTTCCTTCTACAATCATTATCTGAAAATTAATGACTCAACTTCAAAGTCACCCTGTATACAGGGTTATCCAAATTAAGTGTCCACCATTGGTAACTTTGTTATTAGTAAAAATACAAAGTTGTTTAAATTAGCAAACTAGTAGCATTTTTAACGCTGGTAAAAATGAGAAATAAAAAAAAACAATTGAGAGTCGTTATTTTGATTTTTTTCAGTAAAATAACATTTTTTTAAATGGAAACCCCTGTATATTATATTTTTTTCTGTGAAAGCATCAAATTTTAAACAAAAAAGTTCATAATGACTTTTCCGCAAAAGTCAAAAATAAAGTCAAAATAACGATAAATATTTTTAATTATTTGCAGTATTATAATATTAAGACGGCTATGAAAACAACATGGCGTTCGCGATTTGACAGCATTAAGATAAGCGACAAATTGTTAAACTGGACATACTCGCAACTAGAAGGCTTTGGAAAACAATGATAAAATCAAATAATGTCAAACATTAGTGTAAATACTTGTTTATAAGCTTTATTGTGTCATTAATTTAAAGAAAAATGTTCTCCCATGAAGAAAAGTGTGATATGTTAGAATGCTATTTAGTGTGCAGAAAATCCTCCTTGAGAGCAAGAGACTACAGTGAATTATATCCCACTCGCATTCAACCGTATGAACGATATTTTCTGAGACTTTATCGAAAATTTAGGGGCAACGAAAATGTTTTTGCTAAAACAAGGGCAAAAAAAGAATTCATAAAAAGCGAGGCCACGGAAATTGCAGTTATTGGATATTTTGAAGCTTATCATGAGAATTCAATAGCAGATATTCTCAAGGACTCTAATTTCAGTTATGGTACTGTTCAAAGGATTTTAAAAAAATACAAATTTATTCCGTATAAGTACCGACCAGTTCAAACGCTTTTGGCAGGGGATCCAGAGAGAAGACTTGTTTTTTGCCATTGGTATCTTAGCTTCTATCGCCAAAATGTAAATAACTTTCGTTACCTTTTATGGACAGATGAATCAAATTTTTCAAATTCTGGAATGTTTAATAGAAAAAACCACCATTATTGGTCAAGATAAAATCTTTTGTTAGTACATCCAAGAGGCCCACAAGTCCGTTTCAGTTTCAACGTTTGGTGCGGTATAATTGGTTCAAAAATTGTTGGCCCGTTCTTTTATGAGGGAACCCTAACTGGTGAAAGCTATGTGGAATTTATGTCAGAAATTCTGACTAATTTCTTAGATGAATTGGATCTTATAAGTAGACATCATCTGCATTTTCAGCAAGATGGCGCACCTGCCCACATCTCCAGAGGTACTTATCATTTTCTAAGTACTACTTTTAATGATCAGTGGATAGGAACAAATGGCCCAATACAGTGGCCTCCCAGATCACCAGATCTAAACCCACTTGATTACTTCTTGTGGGGTTACTTAAAGAACCAAATTTACAAGCGAAGGTACGATAACCTTGATGCGTTAAAGACTGCGGTTAGGGAAAAGATAACCCAGATAGATGGTAGGACCATACTTAAGACAGTTCGAGCAGTTGAAAAACGTGCCCAAAAATGTATTGAAGAACAAGGTGGTGTTTTCGAGCATCTTCTTTAAAAAAAATTGTTATTGTATTTTGTAAGATGATAAGTTGATGTTGAAAATAAAGTTTGTCGATACAATTTAATTGTTTCAGATTGGAGGCCATAACTTCAACAATTTGTAACCTAGGAGAAAAGTTATTGTAAGCTTTTTTGTTTAAAATTTGATGCTTTAACAGAAAAAAATATAATATACAGGGGTTTCCATTTAAAAAAATGTTATTTTACTGAAAAAAAAATCAAAATAACGACTCTCAATTGTTTTTTTTTATTTCTCATTTTTACCAGCGTTAAAAATGCTACTAGTTTGCTAATTCAAACAACTTTGTATTTTCACTAATAACAAAGTTACTAATGGTGGACACTTAATTTGGATAACCCTGTATATATATCTATATATATGTGTGTATTGTGTGAGTCCCACATTAAGGTGGGATATCTCAGCTATTTTACGAAATTTCGAGTTAAAATCTTAATCACTTTCTATTTATCAGTAAACCTAAAACTTGTAAATGTATGCTAAAGATTACAACACTCTTAGTCGGTGTTGCACTTTCTATGTCATTTAGTATATTTTTCCGAAAATGGGCAGAAACCTCTGAATCGTAAAAAACGAAGTTTGAGTCATTTTAATTTTTTTTTCATAATCATATTTTCCTAGTCTATGAATGAATCGAAAACATGTATTTTGAACCATTTGATTTATGTCTCTACTAACACCAAACAAGGGAAAGACACTACAAAACATATCTGAGAATGGAAAGAACTAAGGACTCTTTAATCAATAATTCAAAATAAATCTATTATTGTATGTACAGGTATGTAAGTTCTTTGATTGAAAGTTTTACGTGCTCACTCAAACGAAGTTGTTCGTGAATACGTACATTGTCCTAAAGCTTTAGATATATTGCAAAAAATTAGTCCTACGTTATTCATACTTATATTCAAGTGTGTTTTAATTTTATTTTTCTCATCTTCTGAAAAATAATTGTTGAGCATTTATTTGCGTTTAATTTCAAATTATGTGCTTCAGAGTCAACATCACCTTCCACTAATTTTTTGAAAGGATAGCACCCAGGAGGCAGTGTTGAAAATTTTAAGATTGTGGTTCGACTTTGTACAGCTTACCTGTCGTATGCTTATGATGCGGATGGTTCTTATCCGGCCCGTACGGATAAGTCCCCCCAGGTCTCGGATAATGCGGTTTTTTGTCAGGATGCATCGGCTTCTGTGGATAGTAGGTTTTCTGCGTCGGACTGTAGGGCCGCTTCCCCTGGGGGTACCTGGGGTCGTACGGCACCGGCCTGCGCGTGTAGTAAATCCTGGGTCTGGAGGTCGTGGAGGGTCTGGTTGTTGTTGAGGTCGAGGTAGTTGTAGAGGGCGTTGTCATAGAGGGGTAGTACTCGGGGATACGCCCCCATTGGCGTCGATCGTCACGAGCACCTAGAGGAATATTTCATGAATATTTATACAGGGTGTCCAAGAGAAGGTGTAGGATTGTTAGAAAAAATTAAATACTACATATTATATTTTGCGAAGAAAATTTATAATCCCAACACCATGAGGAATTCAAGAAAACTTAAAAAACGCACTATATAATATCATTAAGCCAATGGTAGCGAATAATGAAACAGTAATGAAGTAATTTATGTTTTTTCTTGTAAGTATGAGACTCTTACCCGCAGGGGTATTACGCATCTTGAAAAGTAATACTATATCTTTTTTTTAATTATATACGTTTTGCAAACGCAAAAACAGGGAAAATTACAATTTATAACTTTGATTTTATACATATGCAGACACACGCTCATCCAGATGCCATTTTGCTACTCTGCTAGTCAATCAATTTTTTTGTGTCATATCTCCTCAGAGATATACTCTGCAGACAATCTCGGCATTCTGCAAAAAACAAAGTATGCTGTCGAATTGACTTGCAACGTGGTCGTTGAGCATATAGTTAAGTTATTCCTCTATAGGTGGTGCTACGTGTGACGCTCACAGCGCTCATAGCGAGCAAGAGTGGAATGAACTAATTGCACACTAGGACCTACCTATTTGTGAATTGTTATGTTATATTCATTTAGCTCCAAAATTAAAATCCCCGCTAGAATTAGGGAAATAAAATTATATAATAAGGGAAATATGGTTATTTCCCGAACACTGTATTTCAAAATACTAGAGTGTGAAATTGTTATACAGTCCGTTCTTGAATTAAGTTAAAAGTTTTCGTTCGCCACTTTAGATCAGCTGAAGCAATAACGATATAAAAAATGCATAGGACAGCAATATATTTCTGTAAAAATTGATGAAAAACTTTTTGAATTACGGGAATAAAAAAGGTGTGAAAGGGAGAAGCAGAATCGGCGGTAATATCTTAATTTGCCTGTAAAACTGCAACCACTATACAGGGTGTCCCGAAAAAGGTGTGCAATATTCTACCAGCGGTTTCTAGAGCTTAAAATAGGAAGAAAAATTTATATAAACATAGATCGACAAACGTCCCCTAAGGGCGCTACGGTCTTTTAAAGGGGCTCCCCTGAAGATGGTTTTTCCTTAATATTTCCGAAACGTGTTCCGATAAAGACATAAAATTTGGTATTCTAGCCTAGTTTTTTATGCTGGATTTAAAAATATTAACAATTTTAGACTGTTTTGTTTGGAAGCGTATGTAACAGGGACGGACTCAGGTTATTTCAGCCCCAAAATTTTTGTGTGATTCTATTTTTGAAATTCAATTTTAGAATTTGAAAATTTAGGGTTTTCTACATAAAAAAGGTACTCTTATTGAATATCGATAAATTGTGCCATTTTTGAATAAAATCAGACTAAACATGTTGTCACGTGATAGGAAATGTACTGCGAAATTAAATGCATTGTTGAATAAGTAGCCATGGCAACGAAAAAACTAATTTAATAATTGGTAAATATTACATAAATACTACATATTTATATTGCAACATAGCCTAACATTTAGGCAAAAACAAAAGAAATAAATTTTTTCTACGAACGAAATTGAAATTTGTTTAAAAAAGAAGACATATACAGTTGGATATACTTAAAACTAGCTTTACAATAAGAGTTCAAATAAATTCCCATTTTGTTGGATATAGAGTCTCGCTCGACGAACTAATGATTGCGTAGCCCGAAAAGTGGAAAACCTTTTTCTTCTTATTTCATTTGGAGCCTGAGACAAATTTTCTTGAGTATTTACTTCAGTCGAATAAACTAACTCTTTTAATGACCCCCAAAAATACAAATCCAATGGATTTAGGTCAGGTGAACGTGGCGGCCACGCTATAGGACCTCCTCGGCCTAACCACCTGTCTGGAAAATTGAGCTCATTGTGAAGAAAGTTCAGATACTCCTCTGAATTAAGACGATTGGGAAGTACAATAGGCCCAATTACTTGATCCCCAATTACTCCTGCCCATAAGTTCAATGAAAATCTATGTTGGAAATTTGTACGGCGAACAACTTTTGGATTTTCATCTGACCAGTGATGCATATTATGGAAATTAAAAGTACCATTCCTAGTAAATATTGACTCATCCGACCATAATATTCTAGGAATAGTGTTTTCATTTGCTAATATCCACTGGCAAAACTCGATTCGTGGTAAAAAATCTGCCTCCGTTAAATGATGCACCCGTTTAAAATGATAAAGATGTAATCCTTGCATTCTCAACACGTTTCGGAAATATTAAGGAATAACCATTTTCAGGGGAGCCCCTTTAAAAGATCGTAGCGCCCTTAGGGTACGTTTGTCGACCTATGTTTATACAAACTTTTCTTCCTATTTTAAGTCTAGAAACCGCTGGTAGAATATTGCACACATTTTTTCGGGACACCCTGTATATATCGATGTGAAGAAAAAACCAGAATATAGGAAAACTGTGGTTCTTGATAACGGTCTGATTGGCAATTGAACTCACACCGCAGAGCGACTCAAAAATGGTGTAATGATACATCATTTTGATTTACCCTCTACAACAAGTCAAACCTTGGCTACAATCAAGAACTTCTACCTACACATTAATGCCAATGTGTGTACCTACCATCTGCCGAAAAAATCAATAAAATCGAGGTGAAAGTAAAAAGGTTATGAGGTTCCGAATTTTACCACAATTTTGCTTGTTGCGTTTATTTTGAATCTGAGTGTAGTTGTTTCTGAAAAGAGCACCCTGTATACATAAAAGAGACAGATATAGAGGCAACCACTCACCGTACAGATGTTGTATGGCTTGCTTATCGTCTTCGGGAAGTTCGAAATCGAACCCATTATCCATTTCCTTGTACCATGGGTACATAAGTGCGCTCTCGACGTTTGAGTGCGATAGACCCAGCGAATGTCCTATTTCGTGAGCGGCCACGTTAAATAAGTTGGTGCCTGGAACAAAACAAATTTAAATTCAAAACTGAGTTCTTTGTTAATGGTTATGTAGAGAAGCTAGAGCATGAAAATGAATTAAATGAACCATTTCAAGACATAATGATACAAAACAATCATTACTGAGGTTTTAAAAAAATATATTTTGTTTAGCCTTCGTGGGCAACTGAAGCATTAGTAATGATTGTTTTCCTACATTCGATTGTAAGCTTACGAAATATCTCAAACACATTTTTTGCATGCGAGTTCAATCCTGTAGCACACAAAATCTTTCTAGATCACAAGTCTGGTTAGTGTCACTCAGCACTACGGCCCTTAAGTCTGTTTATGTTATACACCCCTTTCCTTCTCTGGATACATGTTCCCAGGATAAAGTTTCTTAAAAATGCGGGCGTGGCTCGCATCACAGTTCAAATAGTGCGTGGAAGAGATCGCTTCTGAGACCAAGTAGTGCGCATTGTGGACCTACTCGCAATTACAGTGTTGATGTGCGATATATATAAAATATTCATATTTATAAAGATGCTTTTTATAGTGAGGCTTTGATCATATATCCATATTTATAAAGATGCTTGGATCATATATCCATATTTTTATCAATGGCTTAGGGACTCAATAATTGCGGGTAAGGATAGGGAGATTAGGTGGCTCATACAAGGGTGACGCCTCCAGTCTCTGGAGGTTGTTATGGGACTTTCGGAACCCGATTGCTGGGTTTAGGTGGTTATGTTCATTACTGCTCGGTTTCCCCTGCTGTGTGCTTAAAATTGGTGTATGAAAAATTATAAATTAAAAACGATGAATTGGTACGACTGCGGATAATTAATGTAATCCTAAGGTAGTGCATGTTATGGGTCGGTTGAATATGGGAGGTACTCAAGTCATTTTTCTAAAAATAGATAATCCGATCATATCGCCCTTATCGCTTGCCAAAGGAGGATAACTCGTTGCCATTACATCACCAAGTAAGTGGCTTTAATGTTATCCTGACATTGTTGCCCATATCGAATTATTTACGAGCCACCCTTGTAGTAAAAATTAAATGGTACAGGTACTTTGAAACCTTCTAATATGGGTTTGTCGTTTTCACGTTTGTCGTTATATTCCATTATTATCATATTTCGTTCGTATCTTACACGATTTTGAAACTTCCAGAATGAGTTACATTAAGATTAAAACTTGTAGGGATACGACAACTGTCACAGATGCGACGGATGAATAGATAGACATAGATGACTGAGGTACTATGGATATTGTTTAAATATCTAATAGATACGTTGGAAATACCGATGTGTTTTATTTGAACAAATATTCAATATTGCAATAAAAGCACCTGGCTCCATACAAAGTTGTCATCTCTGAACATTACTTTGAAACATTCCAATGTAATATCTGTTAGTTGAGAAAGCTTTAGCCTTTAGTAGGGTACTTCGACAAGATTAAAGCAAGGAGGACTCTTTCTACTTTCTCACCTAACTGGTTGTTCAGACGACAATAACCACGGCTCGATATACTAGTATAGTATATATACATATATAGGTGAAAAATAAAGCTTCCGCCTGTTGTTGGGTACTTCACGCAAAGAGGACTATTTATATTTTATTGATCTCTAGTTTTCAATGGACTTTGCCATCTTCATCAGGAGCTGCAATAACATTGAGAAGAAATTGCAACTATTGTGCAAAATGATTTTAAATTAACTTACAGTCGTATGTGAGATTGTTGCTAAGTGTTATTAACGTTTAGGTTGAGGGAAACAACCAGTAACCTGGTGAATGCTGGATACATGGTACATTCGTCAAAATTAATATAAACTACACACAGCTGTATGTCAGGAACAAATTAGAGCGGATTAAAAATATTTAAAACGAAAGTTAAAATTACATCGTGAACCACCTGATGCTGCACAAAATGGTGGGCACAGGATCATAAGTAGGATGAAACATGTGACAGGTGACAGACGGTTGGTCAGTGTCGATGGATGAAACGAAAATTTTTGTAAAGTGTGTGCTATGTTGCCAAATCACTTCAGATGGTGTTATTTATCAAGATATGTTAAGAAACATATATATATATATATAGGTATATACCTTTCAGAAACATTGCAGCAATATTTTGTAAGGACTTTGAAACAGTACGACCATTACAGTGTAAGATTTATGAAAAATATTAAGCTGTATGGGGATATAATCTAGGACAGTGACGTATCGAGGACCAGATCTACAGGGCGCTAAAGTTACTTTGCCACCTTTTAAGGCGTAAAACAGCCTGTATGCCTATAAGTCAACAAATTTTCTTAACATCCTACATTTTGTTGAGCAGCGTATATTCGCGGAACTTCTTTTCGCGTATTCAATTCACCATTAATGCCTTATTTGTAGGAGAATTTTAATAATGCCTGCAAGAATATGGGAAATGCGCCCATACATTCTCGATATAAAGTGAATAAGGCCATTTCATGCAGAATAATGCAGCGCGTAAATTGGCATGGCGGAAATTCAGCGTTGTTCCAGAGTCACTACTGTTAGCCGAGTCACTCAGATTGAAAATTTTAATTGGACTTATGGGAATCAAGGAAACAATCCTGAGGCAATATTTGAACCTTCAGATTGGATCCAATGTTGACAGGTTGCTCTTTTTGCTTCCTATGCCATTGGCGAGGTAGTGTTGTAATAAAAAAAAATTGAAAATGAGATATGTTTTTTGGATGTTATATGGCACGAAAAACCATGTCACCCATTTCCATCGGCCTGTCCGTCTGTCGGTCTGTCCGCTTACCGTTGAACTGGGAAGGTACTGCCCGGATTTTGAGGATATTTCACGCATCGGGTAATTACTATGCCCAGGACAAAAAAGTTTTCGGTTCAGTGGCGGTGAAGCTAGAGGCAAAAATGCAAACATCGTTTTTTGACATTTCAAAGGCACCTGATCATTTTCAGAAATTTTTTTGTAGAGGTTGAAAATCGTGGGTTTGGCGTTGTAGAGGGGGAGGGTTAAATATGTCGCCAGTGGCGGCGGAGTGAAAGGCAAAAAATATCCGGAATATCGTTTTTTGACATTTCACAGGCTCCTGATAATTTTTAGATAAAAAAAATTGTACAGATGATGAACATTTTGCTGTTGGGGGTTGTAGGTGGTCGGGGAGTGAATATCTTTATTTTAGTATATTAATACGCCCCCAACCCCGGTAATTCTACGCACCTATTGAACATATTTCGCATCTCATAGATTTCCTGTAGATATAACCTACAAGCTTGAAAAAATATTTTCTCGATCGACTCTCAGTGTTTATATAGGTACCGCAGAGACAGCTTACAATTTTATTAGTCATGTCGACGTTGTCAGTTGATAATGTCGGTAAGGCAGGCGAAAAATATCTAGATCTCAACCTTCTCAAATAGGTGGGAACTATGTATTAATTGTGTGAGCCTGTTTGACTGACTTGTCTCATTTAATTTTTTGCTAAACAGAGTGTTTCAGAAACACATGCCAATATATTTAGGGTAGAAAGTACATCCAAAAGCAACAAAAAAGTTCTTATCAATATGGGTTCAAATATGCTCCTCTACGGAGATACTGGGTGATGAAGTTTTAGTCACGAATATATATCTACGGAGCCGATAAAGATACTGAGTTAGGATTTTAGATGTTCAGTGAGGACATCATAAGCAATAAACACACAGAGTTTCCTGGCCCAAACTAAACCACGGACGTGGCTGTATCCCTCAGTAGGAAGTATTTTACGTTAATATGCATATCTTGTCCTCAATTACGTAATATTAGAACTCCAATACTTCCCCGCTTACTAACCAAAATAATAGCATAAAGAAAACAGACCATAAAATTGAAGTTCCGCAGCTTTGAGGGAAATGAACGAAGTCTGGCAACCTCGCTTTTGTCGACCAGCGAGGGAATGTACCCAGGAAATGGCTTTCGCAAGTAATTTTTCGTTTCCTGGAAGAGGCAACTAACTGAATTATCCGTAGATAAACAGAATTATTAGAGAATTAAGGAAGTTCCCTAAAGATCCGCCGTTCGCGAAAGAGAACAGATTTAAAACTTAATTGGTACAGACTTTTGTATGTAACTCAATATCGAGAAGTTTCAGATTACTTACTCGTAGGTTATTTCGTCATTATTAATTAGAACCGAAACTAAAACTATACCGCTATTGATTCGGCCATAATCTTGTTAGATTCGGTGTGTCTAAGGCGAACGTATTTTCTTCCCCAGGTAAAAGTATACGTACAAACTGTGCAGGATGTTATGATCAAGCGCGGATCCAGGAGGTGATTATCCCCCCTGGACGAATCTAGTTTGTCAACTAATATTTATGAATGTTAAATTTCTTTGATAAATTATATAAAATACAGACTTTTGCAAATATGTAATAGATACAAACGGGTGAAAAAATCACCAGATTTGGTGAAAGATCACAGCACCTGGTAACCCCGATCAATTTGTAAGCGCATCGATGATGGCGTGGAATTAACAGGGTTGCGCAATTCTGGTTGCCTATACGTTCAGCTTGACGCAAATATAAATAAAATAATGATTATGTCTTTTTCGGTGTGGTAGCAGCACTGCTTGTCCATTAGTGCATTGTTGGAAACTGAGCTTCCTGTGTTCTGTGATTAAGCTATTCAATTGACAACTCAGTCATTCGGACAGGAATATAATAAAATACCTTCTCACGCGCGCCTTTAATGCCGGCGCCGAAAGCAAATTTGATAAAAATACTTTTTGACGAACAAAATCAAAGAAAGGCGATATGCGCTAAAGTTTAGCCATAAACAGTGTCAAAAATATGAGATAGTATTCATTTGAAAACCTCCCACCACGGATTTATCGAAAACCACGGATTAAAAGAAAAATGCCGAGACACGTCAAAAGATCTGTCAAGGGGGACAACTTTTTAACCAAAAACTACTTAACCCCTTTAAATGACAAGTGGTATCGAGTAACAGCTTGTTTGAAAGGTCTTTCGGAGTCCTTTATTTTG